TGTATACAGTGGACCAATTGGAATAGCCGACTCTACAAAGGCAGAAGCGTCAGCAGTTCTTACAGGGATTTGCCTAACCAGAAAACTGGGTATTCAGAACTTCTCTATCGAAGGTGACTCAGCAAACACTATAAAATGGTTAGGACAACAGGAAGCTGGACCGTGGAGACTTAGTCACTTCTTACCAGAGGCAAGAGACCTATGGGCTCCTACCAATGTTTCTCTGTACTGGATTCCAAGGGAGCTAAATGCCATTGCAGATGGATTACCAAAAATAGGTGTCATTCTGGATTCCTTGTATTTTGACAAAACTCCTCCTGTGTAATTCTCAGGGGTCTGGCCCCTGTTATGTATTTGTACACTTTCTTGTGTACCCTGCTCTCCCTTTAATGAAATCAGTTAACTTCTTTCATAAAAAAAAGAAAAGGGTGGATATTAAGAAGATAGTGGAGAGACAGGTGGAGGAGGGAAAGCCTCTTGGTTTAATTTTTTAGGAGGGGAAAGAGTGGTCCGGAGGGCAATTGAACAGTCTGAAAGGAGCAGGAGAGAAGAAAGAGACAAGAAAAAAGTCTTGGGGGGAGGGGGGAGGAGGAGGAAGGATAAGGGAGGGAAGAGGATCTGATAGAAGAGGAGTGAAGGGGCTTTTAGAAGCAAAAGAGGAGGGACAGCAGAAGTTGAATCTGGAAAGGAGATTGCTGTCTTGGAATGATGAGGGGTCTGAGAGATGGAAGAAGAAAAGGGTTTTGGTAGGGAGAGTGGTGAGAAAAATCGGCCCAGATATGGTGCAACTGCAAGAGATAAAGCTGGAGAATTTGATTGTGGGTTGTGTTGCCTGATGTTGCGCAAATCAGGAAAAGAAGACATCAGGGATAGTCTTTGGGAAGTGTTTGTGATTTCAAAGTTGTAATTTGGATGATTGATGTTGATTAGTTTTATTTTGTTGTGTTTTGTTGTTTGAATTAATTCCAGGTGTTGCCTCAACACCTTCTCAGGTTGTAATTTTCTTTTCTTTTAACAAAATTTTCAGTTTATTACTTATAACAAAACATAACAATGGTAGCTCAATTGGTAGGATCTCTGACTCATTGTAGCAGAGACCAGGGATCAAATCCCACTGCCACCAGTGGTTGGGGGATTAAGGGGATGGGCTACCCCCCCATTGTGTAGCCTCATGAAGCAAAGAAACATAAGCAAAGGATTGCATCAAAGGATTCCTCAATATCAAAACTAAACCTAAGTGCATGATCCTTCTATCCTTAATATCTGATGAACCAATCTGCATTTGGCATGTCCAAAAATGATTTATTCAGTAATTATAGTATTGATTAAAAAAATAGGAAGTATACAGGTTTTACAACTCAAGCACCACACCAAAACCATTAACCATTCTCCCTACTCATCCTAGTCATCACTAAGATTATTTTCAGAAGGAAGATTGACATCCTCACTCAAGCAATAGTACTAACAAGAACAACAATAGTAGTATGTAGTGGCAGTAGTATATCCATAACATTGCCTGGACTGAGATCAAGTTCATGGCATTGTCTGAATTATTCAAATCATCTGCTGGGCGGTGTTCTGTAACAAATTTAATACATGTGAGTACTCAGTACTTACAAAGGAGAAAACCTTTCTGGTTTCTTTCACCTCATGTTTACCTTCTCTGCAGAGAAAATGTGAGTACGTTCCACTTACTAATCTCCTGCAACTTTGTATCTACTAATTGAAATTTTTTCCTTTCTCTATTTGGTGGCAGGTGGAATCCTCCCTTTAGAATTGAAGGACTTGTTGGTCAACTCCCTCTTCACCCCTCCAAGAAGCGAGGCAACCAGGCAAGTTATATTATGGTGTATTTGGGAGGAGAGAAGTGAAAGACTGTTCAGTGATAAGGACAGGTCATTGAGAACATAAATATCAAAATGATTCGTTGGGTAAAGACTATGGAGTTACATTCACAATTTACGGTGGATGACATCATGATAAACTGAAAGCAGGTGCAGACCCTTCGACAGTTGATATTTTTAGATGGTTGAGATTCCCCCTCCCCTAAGCTTCATAAAACATAACTTTGATGGTTGCATCTAGGCAATCCAGATCAGTCAGGTGTTGGTGGAATATTCAGAAATGAAGAAGGAACAGTTTTGGCCATCTATTGATTTACAGATAGCGATCACAACTGAAGCAGAAGCATGGGCAGTTCTCCAAGGGCTTAGAAAGGCAAAGTCACTGAATTTCAGGAATCTAATTGTCAAGGGCGATTCAGATGTTGTAACAGGCATATTTTTCAAGGCGCCAAGGCGAGGCTAGGTGACTGGGGGGCGCCTTGTTGCCTAGTCGCCTAGGCGATGGATTTTTTATGTTAAAAACATAGATCCTAGGGTAGTTCCCTGGGTACCATAACCATATTTCTTTAATAGTCATTCATGATTTTCATAAGAAAAGTATAAATTTCATATTAAAGTATAGAAAATCAACACATTCATGAGAAGAAAAGGAAGGAGTATAAAATTCAAACAATATAGGGGCTGAACCCTTATTTTTGTTATAGGAAAAGAAGAAAATAAAAAGTATTGATAGTAGTAGTAGTAGTAGTAGTAGAAGAAGAAGAAGAATATATGGAAGAGGAAAATGTGTTGATTAGATAAAATTTTTAGTTCTTCCTTACTTATTGATTCAGGTTTTTAAGTCTTTGAGGGTTCAATAAAGCATTTAGCAATGTTTGTGTTGATTAAACCCTAATAAATAAGAAAATAATAAAAAGAAATTAGTATATAAACACACAAAATGATTATTTTAGTTTAATAATGTCTATTTTTTAATTATAATCTCAAAATAGAATGAATAAAAAAGTATTTTATAGTAGGAAGTAGAAAACTACTAGGTGATTAGGCGAGGCGAGCCTCAAAGGGCGCCTTGTCACCTAGGCGTCGCCTTGACAACTATGGTAACAGGATAGGTAATTGGTATTCAAGAGGGATCATATTATTTTGGGCAAAACACTAAAGTTGTATATTGGTGGATAATTTTCCACCTTGATGTAATACCTCAACTAAAGTAAATAAAATCTTTATCTACTATCAAAAAAATAGGAGAGATCATGGGAAACATAGACATGTCATAAGGGGCATAAAACAACTAATACATGAGCTAGGAGCCATTGTAAAATGAGTACCTCACTCTTTGAATGGGTTGGCAAAGCAAAGGGCTAGAAGGGATCAATTGTACTGGGGTCAAGAAACTCAAGAGGAGCTGTAACTGAACTTTTGAAGCAACATCACAGTATCATACTAAGATTTTTCCTCTAAAGCAATAAAATGAATTGACAGTTGTCTATCAAAAAAAATCTTTTCGAGCAGTTTAGGAAAATGTAAGGAGGAGAACTACGAGACATAAAAGGAAAAGTGGAGCAAGAAAAGGGAACAAAAAAAAAGCAACAGAGGAAGAATAGGAATCTCTAAGAGTTCCATGAAATATCAAATTGAAGAGAGATCCACTCCAATGATATATGGAATAGATAAATTGTTTTTTTTTCATCTATAAATCATGTAGTTGCTGCAATGGTTTCCCACAAGCTTCACAATGCATGGAAAATACAATTGTACAAAGAAAACAGGCCATCCTCCCTCCTTCCCACATCTTCCACATAGGTTCATGGATGATTATTATGTTTAAGCAAGTCCAATTGGCTGATAGCATGTTAGTGTCATTAGATCATTAGATGTATTCGCATTTAACTATTCACATTTATATTCATTTACATCATGTTATGTACTCACTTTTTGCTATACACAATTAATACAAATACTATTGTTACCATTCTCTAAAACTAATTTCCAAACAACAAAATTGAATTATATGAGTGCATGGGATAGATAGGCAGTGAAGTTACTCAGCAGCAGGAGAGGATATGATTCATTGGTAGAAAGAGCATGGACTCATTGATGAAAAATAGCATAGTAAAGCAGCAGAACAATGACAAAAAGTATAGAATATTCAACAGAATGAACCCAAATCCATTATAGCAAACAGTGTTTTAAAAGCACAGGGGGCTTTCTGTAACCAAGGCACAAGGCGAGGTGTGCACCTTTCTGAAGCATGGCACAAAATTTTTTTATAAATTCGAAAAAAATCAACAAAAATTATTAGAAATAGTATTAATTAAAAATACAAACTTAAATTTTAAAAGAAACTAAAAGTTTTAAAAAGCCTATTGTATCAAATTAAAATACACAACATAAAATATAAAACATATTTAAAGTAAAAATATAGAAATAAAATCAAACATAACATATAAAACATACTCAACCACTCAACAATTCAAGCATATGAAACTTCCAATCTGTTTATTTCTCTACCAATTGCATTACTCCAAGTGGCTAATGTGATGTTAAACATCTTGCATCCCTTAATTATACGAGGAAGAGAGAACAACACTAGCAAAAAAGGGGGATTCTAGCTTGAAAAGACACATAATTGGGCTGAGGTGCAAGTTGCATCAGGCACGGACCTTTTCAAAGGGGTTGCGCCTAGGCCTATATGAACCTTTTAATCACTGATAGCAAACATGGCCAATGTTTTAAAACGTTGAGGCAACGCGAGGCGTTCCACTACCTAGAGGCATGAGGCGTAGTTCAGAACGCAAGAGGCGTAAGCTCCCGAACACAAGGAGGCATTAGCCTCCTTAAGAGGAGGGGGGTTAGGAGGAGGATGAAGAGGAAGGGGGGATCTCATTTTTCTTTATTTTTAATAAAAATCTTTAATACTAAGAAGAATAAAGATGCATAACATTAGTTGAAAGGGGAGGGGGTCTTGTCGAAGCGGAGGCGGAGCAAGACCCCCCTAACTCAAAAAAAAAATACAAATTGGGCTGCACCGAAAAGGGGGCGGGGGGGCGAAGCCCCCCAGCCAAAGGGGCAGGGGGCAAACCACTTTCTTTCCCCTTATCTTTTCTTCCCTTTCCTTTCCTTTCCTTTCCTTTTTTTTTTTCTTTTTCTTTTTTCCTTTTTATATAAGATGTGCATGAAGCGCATGAGGTGTACGCCTCTAGCACACCTCATGAAAAAAGCACATGAGGCGTACACCTTAGAGGTGTCAGCGCCTCTGGCATACGCCTCAGGGCGTTTTGGGAGCGCCTCGCCTGGAGGTGCGCCTCCAAGCGTATGCCTCCCACGCCTTTTAAAACACTGAACATGGCAACAATTTCATTACACCATTCAGCAAAGGTTTTTTTCACCCAATAACTACTATTCAGTGGAATCGTGTATAATAAAAGAACAATGGATAAACACAATGTAGCCCTAGACTTAGAAATTGATTAGTCAAGGTATCTAGAACTCAAACTGGAAAAACTACTTTCCTAAACATTAAACAAAAAAATGAGAAAACTTTAGGTAAAAAATGAGAAATAAAATTCTAAAAGAATAATTAAATGTATACACTTACCATCACAAGCCATACCCTGATTCCTAAACATCAATAAGGTGGATGGTGCTCAATGAATATGAGAGCTAGATTACTTACAGAAATTCCAGATAGTTAGCAACCATAGTAGCATAACCTAGAACGAGAAAGAAAGAAAAACAAGGCATGTCAAAACATCGACACTTAAATTCAATATTGTTGTTACTGCAGCCTATTAAGAAAGAAAAAGGCAAATGAAAAAAAAAAAGAAAGAAAAGAAAAAACATAGAACATCAGATCAAGTTAATGAACACAAAACAAAATCAAAGGGGGAACAAACTACTCACCAAGCTACATATTCACCATAGAGCTGCAACCACTCATCTCCAGTGCAAAAGCCTCCAGAATGACCAAAGCATAGATCAGATGTAGTGGAGTTTATAAAAATACAGAGAGTAAACAGACAAAGATGTTTAAATAGTAGTGTGCAAAGCATATCAGGAAGAACCATTTTTCTTAAAATAGTAGTTTGCTAAAGCATTTTACAACATATAACAAAATATTGAAAATGTTATGGGCAAGGCAACCTCTCTCTCTCTCTCCATATATATAGTTGTGAAATAACGAGGAACAAGATTTTTGGTGGCCACATAAATAACAGACCACTGGATAGCAGTATGATTTAAAAAGTTAAATCCAATTTCCAACACAGTTCAAAGCTAGAATATTACAGTTACAACCATGTCAAAAAGTTTTAATGGTGTGACAGTAAGCTGCCTAATAAACAAACCAGGGTACCTTCTTTTTGTTTGCCCTCTAAGCATCTAAAGCACTGATCGTTGCCTCATAGCACTGGAAGAAACCCTGAATGAAAAATATAATTAGACTCTCTAGGATCCAAGTAACTTGGATAAATGAACAGACAGTGCACAAAATGAAACCAAAAGAAATGCAACATCCAAGTTTTCCATTAGCAATCCCTGAATGGAGATGGAAGCTGGCTATCAGAAAAGACAACTTTCAATATCCATCATTTCTGAAAGTTAAAGGAAGCGTATATGTGTTTCTTTACAACGTCATAGTTTAACTACTACTATTATTGAGAATTTTCAAATGCAAAAGGAACCTGCCAAAGGTTGCAGGGAACCATATTAAAACTTCAAAAGAAAATGTCATGGAGGAAGCAAATGTCATAAATCTTTACAAAGCCCAACATCAAGAATGACTACAAGAGATGAAAACGCCTTCGGCAAGTTGTCTTACAATAGAGACAGAACACATCCCACTGGAAGAACCGCCAAGTAGGAAGGTCTCCAAACCAAACATCTTTTTTCGCACTTCAGCCACGCCAGTAACTCTGTGTCCAATGCTCTTGGGACAACACAGAGAAGATAAAGAGACAAAGAAATGCTCAATAATTAGAGAACTGAAAAGTTGAGACCATAATGTACATGTATCTAGATCAACATCATTCTGGAGTCAAAAAATCAGCATCTTTGTTCACTTGCCAGTGATGAATGGATGACTCAATGCTTGAGAGACTGTCATTCTCTTTTCTGGATCCAATATAAATATTCTTTCTAAAAGATCCTTGAAATTGGCCAACATCTTTGGATCCTCACCAGGAGAACTTGTAATTAAAGAACCAATATCCTTTGGCTTAATATTGAGAAGAAGCCTCTTTACAGCCTGCAAAAGCAAAGTAGAAAGATAAACCAAGTTCATAGAAAACATTGTAGAAAATTAAACATTTTTCTAGAGTCTAGACCTAAATCCCTAATCAACATTATCTTTAATATTTTGACGAACCACTGTTAACTTATCAGCAATAAATTGACCACCCTGTAATAGAAAAGATAATGCCCACCTTTTTCGTAACAGGATCTTCTTCGGTAGCATGGAAATTCAAATCCTGGTCAAAATGCTGATCAGTAAATGCACCCTGTATTAAGACAAACAGATAGAAGATATGTCACCACAAAATCAATAGGTCTAATCACATTACAGGTGTCTTTAATATCAATAAATACAAAAGACATCAAAAGTTACTAGACATACTTGCCACATTATATGAATTAATGAAAGCAACATAAAAATTCATGATCATGGAGAACATGGGAGACAAACCCAAGATTCAGAGAAAGGAAAAACAATGCAAAAAATCAGCTTTTATAATTACACAGAAATCAAAATTCAACCTTCCGCAGCATCTTCTTTGGAAAGGGACCCTTTAATTCCATGTGGAGGCGAAGCATGTCATTGTTTGATGGACCAGGAAAAAGAACCTTCCCAGTATAAAGCTCATACAAACAGCAACCAACAGACCAAATATCCATTGGATGATCATAAGGCAAGCCAAGAACTGCAGCAACATGATACAAGTTCAGGTCTTATGGTACAACCAATGAAGATCTTTATTTAATGAAGCATCAAGAATGGATCCAACAATCAGAACTCCAAACATCTTTACCAATCATAAGTCATAGGACTTACTTATTTCAGGAGCACGATAAAAACGGCTCACCAAGTATGGAGTGATCTCATTTTTTCCAGCGAACATTGCATTGCCAAAATCACAAAGCTTCAGCACATTTTTCGCCTCATTAACCTAAAACCAACAACAAGTCAACAACAAAATGGTGAAAAGTTATAAAAGAGCCCAACAAATCAAGAAAAATGAACTTACCAGCATATTATCTGGCTTTATGTCACAATGCAAAACACCACAGTTTCTGAGATGCTTCAATGCAATAAAAAGCTGCTTTGCATATGCCCTCACAGCAGTCAGTTTAAGACCAATATTACGACCAAACTTCTTTAGAACCTCACGAAGATTCATATGAAGAGATTCAAAAACTAAGCAAAGATGATTCCGGTACTTGAAACTTGAGAGAAATCGAACACAATGACGCCGATCCTCAGGATCTGCACCAGCTAGCTTCTTCAATATGACAAGTTCCTCCATACCCGCCTTGTACCTGTTTAAGGGAATTTTAGAAAACAGTAAATTTTATGAATGATAATAAAAGTATAAAACCCAAACCCAACACTTAATACAAATGAACTAATGTCTAAGAAAAAAGAACCTCATTTACTGACATGGTCTCATTATTGCGTATGATTTTTATAGCCACTTCTTCTGGATCACCTCTTCCAGCCTTGAGATCCTTTGCACGGACTACAGTAGAAAAAACGCCTTTCCCGTGAGCAGCAGTAATTTCATATCGACCGTCAAGTATTTCCCCAAATCGGTAACCTGTATAGGAATGACATAATTAACCGTGCCCACAAGACAATGCAGCACAGGAATGACATAATGAAGAGATCAGCACTGAATCAATTAAAAATACAGGCATAGAAATTCAGCCACCTACATCTGCTGAAGAAAAGCAAAAGAAGGGGAGAAAAAAAATGAAAAATGACTTACTATAGTATCCCTCTGCATCGTCCCAATTATCATGAAGACCACTCCTTTCAATCTGTAGACCATCTCCTTTCCCCTGCAAAAGGTAAATGATTTGAACATCAACTTTCAAAATACACAAGGAAAAAGAAGGAAAGATTACTTGCATCATCTACATAGAGAGAATGGAATAAGAATAACTGGAAGAACAATCAGCACACTCCCATATCATTTTTTTTATCAGTGGTGCACTCCCATATCATTGTCATTTAAGGCAAAAAAACAGTCAAATTGAAAGCATCCATGGACATCCTTGAATTCATCCAAAATAACTAAACTCAGAGTTTTTCGTTTCTAAAACTAGTCAAATAGTGATTGAACAATAACTGATTCAATAAATCCTAGATAAAAGGAAACAAAGGTATAGATGTTGTACCCACAAGTGAACATTTTCTACAATTGCTATCCCCCTCAAACTTGAAGGACAGTCAAATCCACCATTGACATTGAAGGTGGACATCCAGAAACCAGACTTAACTGAAGCCAAGCACAAAGACCATAAATAAATCAAATTGGAGATCCAGACCAAGTAATAGCAAAATGTGCAGTTGCCAAAGCACTTCCTTTATTGACGATGAAAAGAAGGAAAGACAAACCATTGTATTGAACAAAATAAGATTGAATAGGCAATTAGGAATATAGTAGCAAATCACAAAAGAATGCTTTCCAATACAAATTTTAGTACATCTTCATGAAACTCCTGAAGATCGTATTACCAAATTTGGATTACATGCATATATCAGAATCAGAGAAATGCAACATCTTATGAAGCACAGCCTGCAATGTATCAGCTTTCACTGCCTCAAAACCATTTTCGTAAATGTTGTGGATTTTTCATAAGACATTCTAGGCCTCGGAAGAGGGAACCTGACCATTGTAAATCTACAACAAGTCTTAAACTACTGCAGTTTGATCTTCTGCACTAAAGATGTATAAGGATAAAGGCATAGCCAGGGGCAAACCAAGGACTTGGGTAGAAGTAATAAGAAATGATTTAAGCACCCATAGATTGTGCTGTGCAATTCTGAGATGGAGCATCTTTTTCTGCATCGTAGCTTCACTTGGGAGAGATGGATGAAAGTTCTAAAGGTGTTTAGAGTTCAGCTGTGTTTTCCCAAGGGTTTACTGGCACTGTTAATGAGCTGGATTGTGGGTTGTTTGTCAAGGAAAGGATGGATTGTTTGGAAGGTAGTGCCAGCAGCAGTTCTGTGGTCAATTTGGAACGAAAGAAACAGGAGGCTTTCTAAGATAAGTTCATTTCAGAAGAGTTGGTTTTAAAAGACATTTGGGGTAGGATATACTCATGGGTGGTGGGTCACACAAGTTATTCAAGAATATTCCTTACAGATCTTTTTTGATCATAGCAATCTCTTTGTATGATTTGTTCAACAGTGATTTTTTTGGGGTGTACAAAGTCAATACTTGCCTTGTCCGGTGCCTTACTGGGCAAGGTCTTTATACATGTTCAGTGTTTTTTTTGGATCAGCAAAATAAATTCATTAATTAATGTCTGAGATAAATACAATGTTTTAGCTACATAGTAGCCCAACAAACTCAAACAGTATACAGATTGCCCACATTCTCATCCCCCTTTTTTTTATAGATACACATTCGCATCCCCTTTTGCTACTACAGATTACATCATTGCCCAAAATAAATTGGATCTATCAGCTCCCTGTTTTGCTAGGATATCTGCCAACCCATTTGCTGTCCTTTTAACCCAGCCAAAACTTGAGTTACAGCTCTTTGCAAGAGATCAATCAATTCCCTGAAAGCAAATCTGTATTTCCAAGGGGCAGAGTTGACTTGATTCACCCGAGACATAACCAGCAAAGAGCCTCCATCTACTTCTAGCTCTCTCACTCCTAGCTGTACTGCTAGTTTTAGTCCTTGTAAGAGAACCACTAACTCAGCTTTTATCGAGTTTCCAAATCCAATTGGCCCTGAGAATAAGGCCACCACTACTCCTTAATGGTCTCTAAAGATAACCCCAATACCTGCCCCTCCCTGGATTGCCAAAAGAGCTACCATCAAACTTTAGTTTCAGTTTATTTGGCTCCAGGGGGTTCCATTCCATTCTCACAGTTTCTTTATGTGTATCGGTTTGCACCACTTTATTTAATGAAATACTTTACCATTCTCTCAAAAAATGATTTAAGCACCCATAATTTGTCGATGGATATGGCACTGACTGAACAAAACAGATTGGCAAAACAGGATTCATGTAGCCAACCCAAGATAGTTGGGACAAGGCTTAGATGATGATGATATTGTGAATTTGCCATATCACTTTTACATAAAAAAATTGCAATTCAAAATGGAAACAAGAGTTGATAATTACCGGCTTACGAACTCCAGCAGGTGACTCTCCAAAAATATCGTCACAAAACATGTCATTTGATCTCTCACTCTGCAGAAATTGATAAACCGGTTAACCCAACAGGATTAGAAACAAAAGGCAGATAAAAAGGTCCAAATACATACACACACAGATTTCTAAATAAAATGAGGAATCAATACTCATTCTTAACAACTGTCAGGATTGAAAGTTAAGTTTTGTATGTTGGTCAGTTTTAAATGGGAGTAAGAAAGCTAAAATTGTGTGGTTCTGCATTTTTTATGTGGTTTGTTGGGAGGACAAAGAGAAATAGACGAGTCTTTGAGGACAAGGCAAGATCCAAGAAGGAACCCTGTCCCTCATTGGGAGAAGAAATTTGGACTGGGTTTGTTTCTTCCTGAATTTTCAGGGATGTCAATAGAGTTGCTTGGGGCTGCTTTTTGGTCATCTTTGGAATGAGAGGGGAGTTAATGAATTGCATTTTTGTTGGTTTGTCTTTTGATAGGTGATTTCTCATTACCTCTTGTGGCTGTACTGTCACCATTTCTTTTCAGTTAATGAACTTTTCGTTTTAATTTACCTTCAAAAAAATAACAGATACAGGGATTTATGTTCACAAACCTTTGGTGAACCATCTCCTAGGCCCCCAACACCAGAAGTCCTCTGATGATCCAAAGCTCCATTTTGTGGTGGTGATTTCCCCACAGAAAATGGCACACCAACAGCATAGAAATCTGAAGTCTCTTTCCTACCCTCAACAACTTCAAGGCCAGCACTAACAGCAGCTTTTGAAGAGCAAGGCTGCTCTTTTGGCACATCAACATTGGAAGAATTCTTTTCCTCTGATCAAAAATAATTTAGCTTAAGTGCAAAGCAAAGTAAACTAGAACCCCACCAATATAAGAACAAAACGGAAATAAAACATAAGGCAGATGCCAAAACTCAAAATACAGTATTTCTACACTAAACTTGGAAGGTATTTTGAAGATACCTTTATCCACAATTTGAGAATGAGATTCAACCTGTTGTTGCAAGTGCTGCTGTTTATATTTTTCTAAAATAGCTTGTCTTCTTTTTCTGCTCTCCTCCTTAATTCTGTCAATGTCTTCCTCTTCCTGCTCCGCAAGTTGCAATGCAACCTTGTCTTCATAATTTTCTTCTTCATCATCATCTCTGAACATGAAAAAATACAAACGAAGTCAAATACAAATCAATCCAAGAAAGGCACAGCAATTAAGTGATTGTGCTTCAGGAGAAGTCCAACCTTTGTAGATTCTCTTCATGCCCCTCTGAAACATTATTCATAGAATTAGGTGCTTTCTTTGCATCTTTTGTTCTTGTTCTTTCCCGTCGCTCAGGTTCATCATATTTTGGATGCTTGGAATCCTTATGCCTATCTCGACTACCATAGTCATCTTTAGGACCATCATAATTATGTCTGCTCACTCTGTCAAACTCAGTCTCCCTACTTCTATCCTTATCCCTACCTCTCTCCCTCTCCCTCTCCCTCTCACTATTCCTATCTCTATCCCTATCTCTTGTCTTTTCCCTGTCCCTTTCCCTATCCCTGTCTCTATACCTTTCCCTGTCCCCATCCCTTTCCCTATCTCTATCTCTATCCTTACCCCTATCCCTTTCTCTTGTATCCCGACTGCCATGTTTATCCTCTCGTTCACTGTATCTGCTATAACTACTACTCCGCTCCCTTCCTCTGTCCCTCACCCAGTCTCTACTACTATGCATGTCCTCCCTACTGTATCTTACCACTATTTCATGATCAGAATCATTCTTGTTCTTCTCTTGCAATACACTACGGGACTGAGATCTCCTCTCTCTTGCATGCTCAGGAGACCTCAACCTGTTCCTAGAATGGACCTCATCATAGTACCTATTATTCCTGTACTTCATACTTTCAGGAGACTTTGATCTTCTTCTATGTTCTGTACCAATTTTGTCAGAATCTATTAGTTCCAAAGGTTTACTTAATTCATCTCTTATTGAATCAGTTTTAGCCCCTTGATCATCTCTTTTTCTGTTCTTTCTTGAGCCCATATCTTCTCCAGCTACCGGAGATCTCGACCTAGTACACCTTCTTGATGCAGTTTCTTTAGCATCCCTGTAATCCTTTTCCTTTCTTGTTCCTTTTAGAGGGGACATATAATCCTCTCCAGGAAATTTCTGACTAATATCCCCATTGGCATGAAGCAACATGTCATCACTTGAGGATGAGCCAATATGTTTCTTTTCCCTGGACTTCAAGGCTTCAGATTCGGAACTTGACCCATTAATCTCTGCTTCTCCATATTCCTGACCAGATGCCAAATGGCCAATCCTTGAATCTCTGGAGCCACCAGCCCTGGCAGGTGCATTTTTTATATCTTTCCTGTCAGAACGTTCATGAAGCTGATTGCCAATCTCCTCTCTCCTATCCCCCGCCAAATCCAATGTTGTATCATCAACGTTATACTCTTTGGATGTTTTTGAACTTTGAGCATTCTTTCCTACGCTATTCTCTGTCAGCACATTACGATTTAGCTCAGGCTTTTCTTGACCTTTACCAGAAGCGGTGTCTCCCTCGGCGTGATCCTCCTACAACAAAGAAATAGACAGAATTAGTGCATAGGGTATAAGCTCATAAAGACATAAGATCTATTGCAGTTTTTACATGTCAACATGAAATTAACCAACGTGCGGATAGTTCTCACTAATTTATTAGTCTCCATAGGTCAACAAGTTATGCCTATAGTACGCCTGAAAATTGTGCAACGGGATACCGGGATTCAACTTCACTAGAAATTCGTGTAACGCAAACGGATCTTCTAATTTACAACTAATCCCAATAAACAACATGGTAACCAGAATGAGCTTCAATAAACCGAAACTAATGTAGAAAGTAGAAACAGTGAAAAGGATGAGTTATAGGGAGTTGTCTCTTAATGCCAGATAAGAAAAGCAAAATATGTTCCAACGATTTCAGAAGAAATCTCAACGAGGTCTCAAGTCCCAATAATATCCAAACAAATTGAAACAAAATCAACAGATAACAGGATGCAAGGAAAACGAAATTTGGGAGTTTGAAACCGAAATTAGAAAAGGAAAAGGGAATGAAATAGAAGGAATCTGCACGTACCCGATCCCGATTATCCGATCCGCCAGCGACTTCACCTGGCTCAATCTCGCCGGATTCAACACCAGAGTTTGTTTTCTCCTTCACCACTGCAACATCGCCAACTCCATAACCCTCCTCTTCTTCTTCAAGGATCTCACCCTCTTCTTTTTCGTCGTCTGGACGTGAATTAGAACCTGAGACAACAGAAACAGGAAGAGCAATTTCTTCTTCATGTTTGCTGCCAAGGTCGCTTTTGCTTCTGCGATGGCGATGGTGGTGCCGATGATGGCTGCTGCTGTGGTGGTGTCGGTGGCTGTGCTTTCGGCGCTTGGCCCCCTCCTCAGCTCCATCATCGGGAGACCTCCTGTGCTTCTTTCGAGTGTCAGCTTCGTCCCCCGCCATGGACGTTCCAGGAGTTAATTAGGGTTAGGGTTGGTCGGTATTTGGGTTAGGAACGGAAGACGAACTTCAGACGGAGAAATACAGGTGCAGGGCTGATGTAAGAACGCGGGCGGCGGGCTCGCTCGTGCAAAAGGCTTTAAAGCATAAAGTTACCGGTAACCAAAGAAGCTTATCTTCAATATATTCCGAGATCTTGCTTATTCGTCCTTACTTCGGGAGAGAAATAGAGAATCAAAGAAAGGAGCGCGTTTGGTTAGGGTGAATTGATTTTGCTTTTTCTTTTCTTCTTCAAGTTCTTGTTTTTGGCTATTCAACATTTTTATCTCATTTTGCATCCTTTCTTTAGGCAGTGTTTGGTATGCCTTCCGTTTATATGCCTTTCTATCATGCCGATTGGTATGCATAGGTATTGATAAAAGTTGGTCTTGATTTATGTGTGCACTAACCATTGGAGAAGCATCATTTTAACACTTTTTCCAATGATTAAACATTTATTCATTGCTTTACTGATGTGATGCTTAGTGACATATAACTATCAATAAATCACATAAAAAAATGTTTACCAACCATTTTTTTTCAGTTTTGAAGACAAATCAAATACAAATGTTTATTTAATAAATGGAAGCAACGCCAAACATATACTTAATGTAAGGAAAAGTATTTCCCTTTTTATGGATTTAAAAAAGAGTGAAAGGAGATGGGATTTTTTAATAATAATAATTTAGAGGAAAGGAGATGGGATTTCGTGAAACAAAAATCATAAGAACACCCTATCTCTCCATCAATTTAACATATTAGTACGGGAGATGCTCCCAACGTACAATAGAGGGCATGGTCTCCACACTTTTTTGACTTCAATCTAGCCAATCCAATCAACCAAGTGATATTTAACAAACTTATTCATACCTTACCAATAACATAGAACTTTGATGAATACTAAGGTTGCGTTGGAAATGATGACAATGGAGTGTAAATCCCAATTTAGGGTAAATTTGCACTTTGGTTCACTTTTACTTGTGTTTGGCAATATTACATTTATGCATTGACAAATGACAGACCAATGCATATTTACATTGATAATAAGATGTAAAAATACATCGATAAAAAATAAGTAAATTTGCATTCAAGTGGGCTTTTGATAAAAAAATAGAAAAAAAAAGCATATGTTTTATTGGAATTCATGTTTGCATCCATTACAGCTAAAAGTCTATTTTGTAAGAAAATAAATTTGTCGATGCAAAACTAACCCAATTTTGCAATTTAGGTTGCATTTGGTTTCAATGTAATGCAATAATACCCGCTATAAACTATGACACCTCCGATTCAAGTGCATGCAATTAAGGATTTGGTTTTAGTTTTATTTTACAATCTTCTTGTTTGGCAATTATAGATGCAAAACAAGGTGTTAAATTGTGAACGTTTGGCTATTTATAAAGACAAAAATTAAGAAAAATAAACAGGGAAAGCCAAGCAATCATTGGTCTTTGAAGATGACTCCGTCACTTACAGCTTGGAATCTTATCATTCAAATCACAGATGCTAGAATTACAAGGACATTGACGGTGAAGTTGATTGAATAGAATCTGATGAAAGTGATCTAGATCACAATGATGATGACGAAGACTGTAACAATGATGAGAAAGATGATGTCCAAAGAGTACCTATAGAAGAGTCTTTTGAGTCATTTTTCTCTTGTCGACTAGTGGAATTACAAAATCATACTTGCCCAACTCCACCATTCAAGGAGGTTAGCAACCCTATAATGACTTGCAGTTCACTTGGTCTGGAGCTCAAGACACTTGGACCAACCCAAAACACTTGAGATAGGAGCCAGTATGTTAATTTCGTATTGAACTCAGTTGAAAATCTCATTCAATATAAATTTGTTAAGGCAAGAACACCACCACCATTAGAGCAGCACCAAACGAAGGAGAATAGTAATTTCAAAAAAGACCTAAAAATACCCTTCATCTCATAACTGACTTTCAAGCCACTGCCTCTCAAATCAAACTCAAATTTCAATCATTCTAATCCACCTAAACAATAAATTGCAATTGATGTCAGCCTTTTGTTGTAATAGTCACTAACAACTTGACATCTAGATATAGAGTATTGGACAATAGACATTCAGATCTCGGACTCTTGGATGCTCAAACAAAACTTAACAGTCGCCAATGACTTGATGTTTAGACCTAGAGTATCCAACGACAAACACTCATATCTCAAACTCTTAGATGCTCAAACAGAACATAAGTCATCGATGACTTAATGTTCATATCCACAGTATCTGACAACAGACACTTAGATCTCAAACTCTTAGATGCTTAGACATAACATAATAGTAATCAACGACTTGACGTTCAGACCCAGAGTATCTAACGATAGACGTTCAGATCTTAGACTCTCGAATGCTCAGTTGCTCAGATAGAATGTAATTGTCGCCGATGACTTGATGTTCAAACCTAGAGTATTCGATGGTATACGTTCAGATCTCAAACTCTTGAACGCTTAAACAAAACTTAATAGTATCGATGACTTGATGCTCAGTCTCTCAAATCTTGGACGTTGTGATGCTCAAACCCAAAAGGGGAAAATATCCGTTACTCATGCTCAAATGGATGAGTTATGATGAGTGGTGGATGAGAGTAAACTATTCACCTGTTTCCCTCGATGAAAGAGGCATGAATTTTTACTTTGAAAAAATCGAAGTAGTTTTCCACCCCCAAGATCGAGGCACACTCCGACATGTTTGCAATTTTACTTCAATTTTAGAAGTATATTTATAACGCTTCCAAACATATGCAAATTAAGACCGGAGTGCAATAATGCATCGAACCGGTATTTATACCGTTTCCAAATGCATCCTTATATGAATCATTTTATACTCTACATATTTGCATTCACATCTATTTGCATCATTTCCAAACACAGCCTAATTGATTAATTACCAAGCCCAAATGTGCTAATATTGGGATTGTTTTTAGAGCTGGCCCAACCCATGATTATCCCTATTAATCATTGTTAGCCTAGCTTTCGAAGTCCATTATCATCTAAGCCTTGTTATGGATTGGCTAACTAGTTTTCATTAAACGAAGCCCAGGGGCAAAGGGTATACATCTAAAGCTAAAAGATGTTAAGTCAGTTAAAATAGAGGCTCTAAGATCAAAGAATTGCAAAATAGTAGGTTGTTGTTCTATGGGCTAGATAATGGGCCACAGTATTTTCTAATCTACTCAATGAAACGCCTTCTACCAAACTACTTATTCATGTTTCACTAGTAGCTTTTGTTTAATGTCATATCCATCATTAAATTATGACCACTCAAATCATTTATTATTACTTCAACCTAAGTCCTTTTTAGTTTGCCTTAGCTTTTCTAACCCCTTCAACATGTAACAAACCACTTTCCCTAACAAGTGTTGTAGATGATATTTTATGCATATGAGCAAACCACCTAAATCTACTTTCTTTTATTTTATCACTTAGAGCTACTTTTAGGCTCCATTGTATTATTTCATTTGTAATATTGTCCTTTATAATCTAACTATTCATCCATATAAGCATTTATATTTCTGCCACACTCATTTTTTAGGCATGTTGTTTTTTAATTGATCAATGCTCTTTTCCATACAATATAGCTAGCGTTACACTTGTTATATGGGATTTTCCTTTCAACTGAAGTGCTATTCACCTTTACATAAGATACTGGTTGCATTCGTCTATTTTGCCCATCTTGTCCTAATTTTATGAGCAACATCCTCTTAAATTTCTCCTTTTTTTTATGACTACTTTCTACTCCTTGGACTACACAACTAGGAGTAGCCCATCCCCCCAAACCCATAACCACCAACCTTAATATAAGTGGGATTCAATCCCAAGTCTCTATTACAACCGGCCAGAGTTCTTACCAATTTGACTTATTATGAATTATTGAAGCAATGTAATGGAGTATGCCACATTGATTTGTCTCTTGGTCTCCAATCCTTTTTTTTACGGCGCCTCCAATCCTTAGTAAACCTTGATTTGCACCCTTGTTATTAAATCTGCGGGAAAATCTATTATATGGGAAAGATATGGTATGGAAAGAGTTTTGATCAATCAAAACCCACCCATAGATATTGATAAACAACACCTGAATCATTATCATGTTTATGATTCTAGTTTATTGGTCAATTGTTTTTCACATATCATAGTCGAACCCTAAATCTACATTGCATATATTTATTTTAACCATACTTATTTTAAAACCTATTGTTTCTAACGTGGTTGTCCACTAAAAGCCATATTATGCATTTAGTCCTTCGCTAGTTCCATCAATTAAGTATGGAGGTGTTTAGTACAATGTTGTTATGCTACCGTTGTGTTTTGGGTTGATCAATACAAATTTGTATGAGAAAAAAATTTTGTACCTCAATCATTTTAAAAATGTTTTAAGTTGATCAATGCAAATAACTACTTCTACCTAAAACATCAAATTCAATATTTCTTACACACTCATTTTTTCTAATTACAATGGCACTCATGTATGATATGGCAATACATCTTTCTCACAAAATTGCATTGATCAACCCAAGATGCAATGACAACACCCCTATGACATCATCAAACATTAGGGGTGGCAAATGGGTGGGTTAGGTTGGGTAAGGGTTGAATATTGACCCACCAACCCACCATGACCCATCATCAATGCTTGTTAAAAGGGTCATAACCCACCATAACCCTGACCTACCCATATTGACCCTATTGACCCACCCATATTGATCCTTTCCCACCCTCACCTATAAATACATAAATGGGTTGGGTTGACCCGTATACCCAAAATAACAACTTTTGAGAGAACCAACTCTCTTGAGGTGCCATGTGGTGGAAACGGGTTGGATCGACCCATATACCCGAAAATAACGATTTTTGGGTGAATCATCTCTTAAGAGTGTCACATGACGAAAATGGGTTTGGCGACCTGTATACCCAAAAATAACATTTTTGAGAGAATACTCTCTACCAAGGCTACCATAGGGTAGAATGGGTCGGGTTGACCCATATACCCTGAAAATGCAAGAATTATGCATAAAAATACCAAAAACTTTGCAAAAAATACTAGAAATTTGCGAAAAGGGTAGAAATATTGTAGAAAAATACAAGAAAATTGCAAAATGCATGAAAACACCAGACAAATGCAGAAATTATGTAAAAAAATTACAAAAAATCCAGAAAAAATATATAAAAATAACAAAAAATTGCAAAAATGCAAAAAACCAAAAATTGTAGAAAATGCAAAAAAAAAAGAATAACTTTTCCAGAAAAATTGACCCACCAATCCACCATGACCCATCACCAATGCTTGTTAAAAGGGTCATAACCCACCCTAACCCTGACCCACCCATATTGACCAACTTAGCCCACCCATATTGATCCTTACCCACCCTCACCTATAAATGTGGAAATGGGTTGGGTTGGCCCATATACCAAAAAATTACGTTTTTTTGGGTGAATCATCTCTTAAGAGCGTCACATGGCAAAAACGGGTCGGGTGACCCGTATGCCCAAAAATAACATTTTTGAGAGAATACTCTCTACCAAGGCTACCACATGGCAGAATGGGTCGAGTTGACTCGTATACCTGAAAATGCATGAATTATGAATAAAAATACCAAAAAATTTGCAAAAAAAAGCAAAAATACCATAAATTTTGCAAAGAGGCAGAAATATTGCAGAAAATTCAGAAAAAAATACACCAAAAAATTGCAAAAATGCATGAAAACATCAGAAAAATGAAAAAAATATGTAGAAAATTTCAAAAAATTAAAAAATATATATAAAAGTAACAAATAATTGCAAAAAATGAATAACCTTTGCAGAAAAATTGCAAAAACAATGTAGAAAATACCAAAAAATGCATGAAAAAAAACCAAAGATGCATAAATTATGCAGAAAACACCAAAAAATTGTAGAAAATGTCAAAAAATATTAGAAAATTGTAGAAAATGCAGAAAATACTAGAAAATTAAACAAAATACAGGAAAATAGCAAAATATTGCAAAGAATGTAGAAAATTACCAGAAAATTGCAAAAACAATGCATCAAATACCAAGAAGTTGCATAAATAGTAGAAAATTGAAAAAATTGTGCAAAAATACAAGAAATTTTCAAAAAATGCAGAAAAATGCATATCTTTTGTAAAAAAATAAAAAATGCAAAAAAAGTACCAACGAATTATAAAAAATGCATGAAAACACTAGAAAACATGAAAACATACCATAAAAACAAGGCAGAAAATGGTAGGAGGAAGCCTCGACCTTTACTCAAAAACCCTAGACCTGAACAAAGACTTTCAAATTAATGAAACCAAGGATTAAAGTATCGGTATTGGGTATCGAGTAACATAGATACAGATACATTTTGGAAATACATGGATACGGACAAAAAATATGAAAATGTATGGATATGCTAGGGAAATACATACAAATTTTATAAATACATTAATAACACTAAATTTAAGATCTAAATAATCAAAAAATAATATATAAATACATAGAAAATGTAAAATTTAATGATATATATGAAGATATATATTACAATTAATATACTAGGATGCATAAATATCATATAATTTTAGTTATAATGGATCAATCAAGAGTCCAAGACACTAAACATATGCACCTATTATACTTTAGTTATTATATCAATTATTAATTTATTTTACTATTTTAATATTTTAAAATTAATAAAAAATAAACTCAAATTAAAAATATCAATTAATAATTTATAAAAATATAATCTCAACTTAGAGTATATCAAATTTGTTAAAATTTCTAAGATACGTATCATATACAAATTCATATTTTTTAATTACTAGAATATTATTCCATTATTAATATTTTATTTTTATAAATTTTATGAAATAAAAATCTTTTTTTTGAAACAAATGTAGATTAGTGGATTTGATAAATTCAATTTAATATTATATTCTTCAATATTTTTGTTTATAATATTTTTATTTTTTGTAAATAATAAATATTTTGTGATTACTTATTAATTTAAATTAAAGTATTAGTTAATAATTTATAAAAATATATACAAACTTTAATATTTATATCATGTGTGAATTTATAATTTTTAAGTTTAAAATAATTATTTTATTATTAATATTCAATTTGTATATATTTTTTGATATTAAAAATCATATTTTTTTTATATAGATGTAGATTTGATATATTATTTATTCTACTAGTTTATAAAATACTATTTTTAATATTATTTTAAAATTTTTAGCTAGTATTGTTAAATATAAATATGTGCTTTTTGTTTAAATTGAATGTGAATACAAAAATTAATAAAATCTATTTTATTTCACTTTTAATCACAAAATGAAATGTGGCTTGATGGTTTGAATTGGAGCAAGATGTGAATGTGCTAGGTGGCCTTAAGTTTGAATAACCTCAAATGCATTTTTTATGAGACTTGACGAAATCGCCGACCCAACCCATCATGACCTTAATGGGTACCCTAGACCCAACTTACCCTTACTCTTTTCCACTGACCCTAATGGGTTGCTCGACCCATATTGACCTGCCAATAGAATGGGTGGATCAAATGGGTTGGGTCAAGATTGCCATCCCTATCAAATATCACGTACCATAAAAACTTCTATTATTTCTTTGGTAGAAAAAAGCCTTTTATTAATCTTTTTTGGGTAGATAAAAACCTTCTATTAATTGGGCGATGTTCATCTAAATAATGATTGGATCTTACTTCGTTGGTCGAGTTGGACCAGCATTTTTGGACAATGCTGGGGCCATTTGATTCATTGCTGAATTGACTGAATATCGTTTGCTTTTTAGTGGATAAAATAGTCATATAGCGAAATATTTAGCACTAAAGTAGCTAGCAACCAACTTGCCATTTAGTAGTTAAAATTTAAAAGAGCTTACAACCTACTTATTTGCTTATTACTAAAAAGCATTTAAGCAACTCAATTCACCCAATCCAGCTCTAAAAAATCTCCTAATGCTGAAATGTGTCCTCAAGAATAAGACATCAGCAATCAGCTTCATATTTTCTTCTGCAAGTTGATTACAGATTTACAGGCAGAGACTTGCACTTCATATTGAGTTGGTTGGCTGTCAATCCAAATCCAGCTTGACCATCGTCCACGTCAATTATATTTATTCTTTATCCTCCTCATATTGCTTCCGAATCCTTTATATTTTGTTTTTGGATTTTAAAAGATAAAAAAGTGGCTATTTAAATCCACCCACAACCAAATCAATTTCTTTTTAATTGGGAAATTGAATGTAATCACTCTCCTATAGGACATATACATCTTTTCAGCACCAGCCTGTGCATTCAATGGATCTCTTGTAATATAAAATTAAAAAGAAAATGCATTTAGAAACCAAATTTAAGAACAAAAAAAGCACTTTGAGCTACAAATTTTTCTGAAACAACTTGACTAAAGCAAGTATGAGGAAATCCAAACTGGTAACCATCCAATTCCGTAAACCCGTTAAAAAATCCACCAAGTCCACTCATCAAGTTTTAAATTAGTTAGCCAAACAGGCTCAGACTTGGCCCAGAAAATGGCCAGGCCAGAAAAAGAAATCTAGTTAGCTGTGCACAAACCGATCTGATTGGCAGGTTGAACTGAACACTTCAGGTATATAAAGAGGAAAGATGATTCAATGTCAAAGAATATGTTCTCGTTGACAAAGCCACGAGTGCCTTGAATGTACATCACTTATTGGCTGGGAAATTCAGATAAAACGAGAAAGATTGTAAACTAATGCATCCCTTCCATGAAACCAAACTCCAAAACAGAACTTGGCTCGAGATAATTCAGAAGTAGAGGTCTGGGTTCTGGGCCAGGCTAGGCCTATATATTATCCAGGGTTCAGGATGGAGTCATGGACCCTAGTTATAATGCACCCATTCTGGTTAGGCCGCCGGTTAACGATACCCGTAAACCTGTGACCTGATTCGACATCCAATCCGATGATTTCGGATTCAGACGGGGTAAATGTTATATCAGATCGGATTTGGATGGCAGAAGTAGAATCCGATTAAAAACTGGATCGAATTCGGATTCACCCCATCCGATCCAATAAAAATCCGAGTCTGATATGTTTATTAATATAAATATATATTATATTTTGTATACTTTTTATAAATAAATGGAATAAATAAAATCTCTTAGGCGTAAATGAAGAAACCTGTTCCTCAATCCTCATTAGACATTTTCTTCTCACTTCTCAGCCCAGGTTTTCTTCTCTCTCATCATCGCCTGACTCGCCTTGTTGAGTTGTCCTTCTCTCCTCTCTCAACTCTCGCTCTCTGCAACAACCAACAAGAACAAGACTCTCGCTGTCGTCGTTCCGTTTTTTTTTTCGGCCAAGGTTTTCTTCATTCTCGTTGTTCCCCTCTCTTCTTTTTGTTAGTTTGGTCCTGTTTTATTGTAGGATGAACTTTTCTTGTTGGCTCTATGAGTTTCATTCATCATCCTAAAATCTAGAATACTTCTCTTAATTTTTACAGACCATATTTACAAGAAAATATAGAAATGTTAGTTGAAAGTCAAATGCATGGTTCTTATCCATCTTGACCTTCCTAATGATATCTCCCATCGGCGAATAATTTCCCGCGTCACTTGGTCCAAGCCTTCATTGACCAAAGGGGATATGGATTCATAAACAGTCTGAAACTCTGAATTCAGATTTCTAATTTGAAATGAGATGAAAATGAAAATGAAGTCAGATTAAAATCTGAAATCCGAAAAATCCGATCAAATTCGAACTCGGATTCCCTACATGCGATCGGATTTGAGATTGAAGTCAGATGCAACTAACAGCCTGTCGAATCGAACTCGGATTTAGATGAATCCAATCCGTTTACAGGCCTAATTCTGGTCCTGTCCATTGCCTTGTTCAACTATAAAATAGATGGTTCCAGGTGCTGAAATTGACAGAATCCTATTGAAACATATAAAATTCATTACCTGCATATATATATAAAATTTTGTCTAGTCCAATATTTTTGGACCTAATTATGCTCGGGTCCAAAATGTGTGGGCTCAGACCTTCTAAATGGGGCCAGGTACATCGGGGCCACCCGGGTAATTTGGTACATTTTGCCACCCATCAGAAATGAGAGAACTGGTGCAAACAATAGATTTCTTCCTTTTTAACTTTCAACTTTCAAGCTCGTGCTTCTAAATCTACAAGTAATATTTACAACCCTAATTGCTATGTAGTAATCAAGGGCTTAAGATTAATATCTTCATTGTTGCCAAATTCATGAATTTCCATGATTTCGACTCTGCGGTTCGTCTTTTTCCTCAACCTTATCGCCACATCTTGGGGAACGAATCTCCCACAGATGGTGACCCTGCACTGCTTCTTCTCTATTAGATGTGCATCCAGCTCTTCAATCAGAAACAAACAAAAGAAACATAAATCGCTTTTGTGAGACTCGAGACCTGACCTAGAATGTAACCCAGTGGTTTGTAGAATATTAATTCATTGATCCTTTTGAAAAGGGTCTCACCTTGCAAATTGAGAAGGGCTCTCCTTACTTTTCTGTAACAACCGTTGCAGTCAATGTTTATCCTCATCACCATGACAAACTGCAAAGTTGCAGGTAGAATGAAACACCCATCAGATATTCAGAATTCAGAGCCTTCATATCCAAATACTTACATTTTTCTCAGATGAAAGAAAAGAACAGAAGCTGTCTACTATTTCAGAGAAAGAAATTCGGAAAGGAAGAGACAAATGGGGAACTTCAACTTGCCCTTTCTGACATGAAGCTGGCAAGTTGGCGATGTGGGTTCCGGGGATGATGAGTGGTGGATTCAATTTTGGAAAAGTGGATCGAAAAGGGAAAAGTGGAATTTGAGAAGAAAAAGGTGCATGGGGTGGTAGTTAATGTTGTATCTGTTGAGTTGGTGTTTGGAGGATTCTTCTTTTTGTATTGAGGAGGAATCTGATTCTGTTGAAGAGTGGAGAGGAAGGCATTACTACTTTGCATTTTGCAATTGTTTTGCTCATTATCTTAGTTGAACTGCAGGGGCAAAGCATCTCCTCCTTGTTTCTACATGCTTATCTGCCTATTTCTGTTAGGCAAAGCATCTCTCTCTAGTCTCTACCCACCTACGTCCATGGATCTGATGAAGATGACGGGGGTTAAGATTGAATAATGTTAGCCCGACCCGATTGACCCGATTAATAAAAAAACCCGTCATTTGGTGGACTTAGAGTCCGTATCTACCGCTCGCCATGCGGTGTATAAACAGCTACATGACCAATCATGGATGAATATGTCAATGTTCCGTATACATGGGTCCTACACCTATGTGTACAGAACACTGACATGCTCACCCGTGATCCCTGATTGATTATGTACAACACTATGTATATGGAAAACTGCATGGCATATTCACCCATGATTACGGCAAATCCCAAGTGCCCTTGCTTATAACCCCCTCCCCTCCCCTGCCCTGGTGAATGTAATTTGATACCTACCAAACTCTCCTCTACAATCAGCCAGAGTAGGGTGTTTATGGGTCAGTTTGATACTTTGATTTGAACATTTGGTTTTAGTTTGTTTGACCAACCGAATCAATTTGGTCAGATTGGGAAATTGGTCATTCAAAATAGATAAACCATTATTAAAAATTGACTAATTTGGGTTGATCGGTTTAGGTTAATTTATTGTTTGATCGATTGGTTTAAAAGATTTTAATTAAAAAATTAAATTTAGAATTACAATAATATTATTAAAAAGTTATATCTAAAAAATTTAAATTTATAATATAAAATATTTTAAACTAAAAAACATATAAAAAATTCTACTTTTTCATATTAAAAAATTTAAATTTTAATATATATATATATATGGGTCGGGTGGATTTTGGTCAGTTCACACACAGCTAAACCAAAACGAATCTGACCTCTCGGATTAGCATAATAGCTGAACCTAAGCAGACTGAAAATACTAAAATATTGACTAACTACTAATTAGGGTTGAATTGGGTTGGGTTGATTGGTTTGGTTGGTTTCATCGGTTTGATAAACAGCCCTAAGCTATAGAATTTATTAACTGATCAACCATCAGTTTGTGGGGATATTGAAGGGTAGAGTTTTTGATATTCGAAACTGTTTGAGGTTCACAGATTTCTTTGTTTCAATTGATCCCATCCAATTGACAACTTAGCAAACGTATTTGTAGATTCAATCGCCTATAGTTAAAGGTTCATAAGGCTCGGTTTGAAAATAGTATAAATGCAAATATATACAACATAAATACATGCAAAATAATACAAAATATAAGGTTTTGCACTTTACATATTTGCATTTGTACTCCTTGTCTCCTTCCAAACTCAGCCTAAATGTCAAATGAAGTTAGGATAAAATATGGACGATAAAAATTCGTTAGAAATTGGAATTATGAAGCAAAATTTACTGTGTTCTTGTAAGGTAGTTTGACAGTTGAAGATACAAAATACAAAATTTCGTAATTCATTCTACCAACATTTATTTTATTTTATTTTTTCCGGCTTCATGGAGCTACAAAATGGAGATAGCCCATCAGCCCCATCTCGATACAAAATACAAAATTTCGTAATCATTCTACCGACATTTTTTTTTTCTGGCTTAATGGAGCTAGCCCATCAGCCCCTTCTCTATGGCCCATGAATCCCCCCCGCAACCCTGATGATCGCAAGTCACAACCAACTAGAGGGTAGAGACCTTATCAATACCAACTAGCTAATGGCCACAACTTGAGATGTGATGAGCAAGAGGAGAAGAGAACTATCTGCCTGTTTGACGTGGATCACCAAAGGCATCACCTGCTTGTCTTTCTGATCTGCAGGTGAATGTCACCTTCTTCTTTAAGACGTCCACCTCCACTGAGTCGGTCCCCCCTGAAAAGGACAAGAAAAAGGAAAGGAAAAACAAGTGAACCATATTCCTCCTAGTACAGGTCCGATGGTCCTCATCCATGGTTCCCCTAATTGTAACAGACTTATTTTGGGGAGGAAAACTAGTTATTGTTATGTTTGAATGTTAGGTGATATACCATTCTTAGACCCCTATCAAATGGTGTAATACACGTTTCAATCCTCAATTCAAGTAATTAAGATAGAACTGTCCATTTATTGAATAGTCAGAAAATGAATCTTGTTCTTAATTTTCCTGGAGTTTCATTTAACTTGAATAAAAACCCAAGAAATTAGGAAATATATGAGTGTTTTAAGACTTCTTATTTGGAAAGTGACTTGTATAGGGAAAATCACAAGGAATGCAGCCGTTTGCAGTGCAACCAAACAATGCCTTCATCTTACATGCAACCAAATGAATCTAACTATTATAGTGTACAAAACATATTGCAATTAGTTTGATATATATTATCATTTGGGGAATCTTGGAGTAAAGAGCTCAGTTACTGGATCCTGATCTTCTCTGGTTTTGTACAAGTGAGGATGAACGACAATAATGGCCAAATGTTACTACTTAAGGCTCAGTAACTCAGTTTTTTGCAGTCCAAAATTCATTTGCACTAGTGTAAATGTAGAGGAGTGCAAATGGCCTAAGGGAGGAAAGACATTTGTTGAGTAAGTTAGTAAACCTACATAAGAGACCTTTATGTGCAATATAATTGGACTGTTCAAAAGTGTTTTGCTATTCCAATAATCACATACCGACATTACTCATTTGCTTTAAAGTATGACGCTTAAAGTAGCCTTTATGTGCAGAACAATAATGTAATTTACTGTATTTGTTACATGAACTGTTCAAGTTTTGCTGAAGTATTGTCAGGGCACTACACTGCTAGGACCACTAGCTCTCTCGCTTTTGCTACAGTTACAATGAAAAGCAAATAGAGGTGAGGTAGAATTCCTTGTTCTCTTGGGGACGATATCGCAAATTCTATGGTACAGAAACCTAATTCATGATAAGGATACCATGGAAGCAATATAATCTGTAAATGTTGCAGGCCAAGATAGTAAAATTTTCATCCTTTGTGTGCAAGATTTGCAATCAAAGGTTGTACAGTGTTGTTGGGTAGAATTCTCTGATAATTTACAGTTTCTGATCACAGTTTCTCTTAATTAGTTCAGTATAAGCCACTCCCTGATGAAAGGCTGGAGTTATTAGATCGGGCTACTTGTTTGGTATAAGAGATCTGTTAGACAGACTCATTACACAAGGCAAGGCAGTCCTGTGACTAACCAATTCATGTTCTACCTGGACTATCTATGAATTCTTGAAAGTAAAGTCCATAGAAATTTACCCTCCATCTTCGAAATCATGTGGGCTATCCTCTTCTGGCAGTTGGTGCATCTTATGTCTGCTGAGATAACAACTTCTTGGACCTGCTCTCAACACCACCACCACCATTTTCGCTCAGAAAACTTCAAACAGCAGAGGAGGCATGAGCCACCAAAACCAGTTTCTCACACACACCACACACACTGAGAGAGAGAGAGAGAGAGAGAGAGAGTACTAACAAAAGGCGTGGTTAAGGATTCAGCAGACGCTAAACTAGTGCGGGGAGGCAGTAGGCTTTTAGGCTTGTAGATCCGACGCCTAGAGAGCTCCTTCTTAGCCCAAGCAACCAGTGACATCCTGCACTTTCTGATTCTTTGCTCCGCAAGACCAATTACTTGAACAATAAAAGCATAAATTCAAGGCTGCATTGCACTGTGCTGTGGCTTGAGGTTGCAGGTTGGATCTCAACCTACCTACCAGGAGAGAAGGGTGGGTAATAAAGTGATCCCTGAACAGATTGGGCTGTGTTGATTAATCCACTCCCATCTCTGGTGCAGCCTCAGTCACTGTCGTTGTTGTCGTTGGACATCAAAGGGATGGATGCTTGATAGCTATAGAAGACGCAATGACAACGTAACATAAAGCGAAAAAGTCTGTTAATTAATTGACAAAGATTCTTCACTAGCTAGTAGCCCCCACAATTAATCGTTTAAATACCTTGTTTGCTTGCTTTTCCCGATTCAACATTATTGCAGAGAGGTTCCTTAGAAGACCAACTTCCCCTTCAAGCTGTGCTGTGGCCATAAGTCATTAGTCCACAGTTCCACTCCCAGGGACCAGCTTGTCTGAAGAATAGCCGTACCGGAAATTTTGCTATAGGCCATGTGTTTATTGCAGTCCAACAGCTGTACACCTTGCTCTGTGTGGCCATTTTGCTTTTGGACGATGTCTTAAATCTTGTTTTCTTGCTTTCTTTTTTCCCGGCCTAAGGATGGGCGAGAACAAGGGTTCTCTTTCTGTCACATGGGTTAGAGCTTATAAGCTGGAAATGCCATGAATGTCAAGTCACATAGACAAAAGGAGGAATGAGAATGATCCATTTTCAGCTATCAAAGATAACCATCAAGTTTGGTTTTATAATGATCATTCTAGCAACAAATTTCAATCAATAAGGTGGAATTAATTTGGCAACGTTCCAATGGAATGTTTCTGGTCTTGGAGGGAGCAGAGAATACGTTGTTTTTCTGTTCCTGGAATGTTCTGGGAACGTTCCGTGAACCATCATGTGATTCAATTTTAGTTTCAAGTTTAGTTAAGGGCCAATTTAACCATTTGTATCTAAACTAAACTATTATGGCAGAGAGGAATTGAGGCTTGCTGATCTGTACCTTGGTCCTTAGACATGAAACAGTCCATAAATTTGTCCAGATTTTGCTTCTCTCTTTTTAATGAAACAAAGAAATTAAACATCTATTTTTTTATAAGAAATGTCCATTTTTAATGAAACAAAGAAATTTATTTATTGAAAAACTATCTCCGATGTATGAAATACAAGGTTGGAAGACTAAAGTGGGAGGACTACAGTCAATACACATTTACATTTAGGGTCTGTTTGGTATGCAGGAAGAGGAATCTGGAATCGGAATGATCCATTTTCATTCCTACTGTTTGGTTGGGCGGAATTAGAATCCAATTCTTATATATTTATGATGGAATGGCATTCCTCCATTTGAGTGAATAGTCATCCCTCCCTTTGGGAATGAGAACCATTCCAGCCAATTCTGATTTTGGTTCTAAATCCAATCAGAACCAAATAGACAGGGAATAGATCATTCAAGTTTCAATAGGGATTTCGATTCTGATTCCAACTGTGAACCAAACAGACCATATTTTGATTGGCCAAAAACAATGACTTAACCATCTGACACATTTAAGTTCATTGCAAATGCAGATTCTGTTCCACAGCTAGCAATTAGATGTCTTGAGGATCTGATGGGAACCATAAAAAAGTTGTTTCGAGCACCAAAATGCGTAAATTAATTTAATCTTCAAACTTTGGGGGGATCATAGACCTTACCCCTCCAGAAAACCAATACGAAAAGAGCACAAACTCCTGAAGGAAGCCAAAAGGAAACATAATTTCAAATTGAATACAAGGGGTGATAGCCTTTATTTGGCATTAAGACCGCATTTGGAAATAATACAAATGGAGTGTAAATCCCGGGGTAAATTTGCATTCTTGTTTATTTTTGTTTGTATTTGGAAACATTACATTTATGTATTGACAAATGACAGACCAAGCATATTTACATTGATAAAAAGATGTAAAAATATATCAATAAAAAAAGAAGTAAATTTACATTCAAGTGGGCTTTTGATAAAAAAAAAAAATACTTTATTGGAATTCATGTTTGCATCCATTACAGCTAAAAATCTATTTGGTAAGAAGTTAATTTTCAGTGCAAAACTAAACCAATTTTGCAATTTATATAAACCGTTTTACACTCTACATATTTACATTCACACTTATTTGCATTGTTTCCAAACACAGTCTAAAGATCTATGAACCGGTTGAATGGTTGACATTAGTTCTTCATTAGATTTACAAATTACAATTCTTCTTTTTCCTCACTGTTATGAATCCTTGGTCGTTAGGGCAGCCTCTGCTTCATTATTATCAGGGCTCTCATTATATTTTTTTTTGGCTCTATATCAACAGATTTAGCTTGCATTTCTTGAGTTTGATGATAGATCTTCCGTGCCTAAAGTAACAGATTGCACTTCTTAATTTGCTTTGATGTCTTGAAGCAATGCCCTGCATAATATCAAGATGTCTTTGAATGATGTCACTGAACCTTCTCAATTATTCCATAATATCAAGTGATTCCACCTTGTGTAATTCTTCATCCAAAAGCTCATGTTGTTAGATTCAACTGGGGTCACCTTCTCCCCTTAGATTTGTTTAGGGTTTGAATTGATCTCCTGAACCATCACATTGTCCTCAACTACACCACCTCATTGACTAGAGGTCGACTCCTTTTCACCATCAACCTGCTGAGTGGAGTGTGATCCATGCATGCACCTAACATGTAACATTCGCAGTGTCATCCCCATTGGTATGGCCATCAACAAATTCGTTAGCATGCACATCAATAGATACTTCGTAGGGCTATATGCCCTTTTGCTTTTTCTTTACTTGAAGGAGACTACTCCCTTTCATGGCCCAAACTTGAAGAAGAAAAAAAGAAGAAGAAGCTACCTTATTGAAGTATCAAATTTCGATCATCGAGATAGTTTTTTAATGATTTGATTTTAGAGTTCTCTTGCATTATGATTCCTATGCTTTTATGATTATTATTATTTTAGGGAATGGGGGAAATAATGAAGCTAGTCAGCTTGGTCTTGATAGCTTATCAAAATATTCTTATCCTCACATTATCATGTCACATGAGAAAATGAGATAAGGGATCCTATCTTACCCATTATAAAAAAGAGAAATGGACGAATTATCCATTGTCCAAATACCCTGATTTTATAGTTTCAATTCTATCCCTCTGATTTTTTATTTCCAATTCTATCCCCTCTCCCCTCTTAAAATGATTGAAGCGAATGGGACAAATAGATTTTGGGCATCCTACCCCTCCCTGATTTCTTATTTCCAATCTTTTCCCCTGTTAAAATGCCTGAAGCAAAGGGGACAAGTAGATGTTGGGCGAACACCCTCATTTCTTCAATATGCTGTTCCTTATTTTTATTTTAATTAAATAATTAGTTTAAATGGAAATTATATTATACTGTTTTTAAATGTAAACAAATTCTCTCAAAAAGAAAATTGAACAAAAAAAATCTCTGAAAGAGAAAGAATATGTAAATGCTTACTCATTATTGATGTATATCCCATATGCATTTTATATGTAAATTCATTTCAAATTTTTGTAACTATTAAGCCTTTTTTACATGAAATTAATAATAACAAATTTAAAAGCTAATTGTTTCAGTAATAAACTACCAAGACGAGCATCTCGGTTTATTTTCACAAACAAGCTGATTACCACTCTTTCTAGACCTAACAAAAACAAATAATCAAAGATTGCTTACACCATTATCAATTCACCTTGAAATAACCAAGAAATTAAATCCTATCCCAAGCTATTCAGTTCTGCATAGTTCCATCTGCACATCCTGAACCAGAAGTGACACCATTATAACTATCGGCTCAGCTCAAAGGGAGAGAGAGAGAGAGACCTGTATTTGGAGAAATGGATGAAGCTGTGGAGAGAAAGAAGGACAGACCCAATACCCAATACTCAAAATCCAGTCCCTATGACCCAATTCCATAAAAAGACGGAATTCAAAAATCACTCTTACCCCGGGTTTTGCAAATATACAAGCTTTTCCTAACATAAGGTTGATATACATTATATATACCCAACTTGCACCCAGAACAGATCTTGTTTATTTATCCCTTTGTTTAGCCAATGCATCTGTCATTGCATTGGCTATTCTTGCTACCCAATTAAAACTGCAATGCAGATCCCTTTACAGCCATTATCTCCCTCATGATGCTACAGTGTTGTGATTTCACTAAGCTATCACTTCCTAGCCAGCCCAGCAGCAAGACAACATTAGTTCAACTAATAGATGATAGATCTATGAACAAATTGAAACAAAAAATGACACAAAATAACTTATAACAACTGGAGTGTTTAATGATTTTATTACTTTTTACCGGTTAATGATTTTATCACCTCTAATATTCTTGCCTTGTTATGTTTCTGGTATGTTTTTACCCATAAAGATTTCTGATTTATCACCACAAAATGTGGAACCTGAACATCTAGCCCTCCCTCCCATCACTCAACAACTGAAATTGCACTCATCATATGACAATTTAAAACTATTGGATTAAAATATAATGAAAATTAGTATGAACTAAAATATCATGAAAACTGAATTTTGAATTAAAGTATGTTTGAACTTCAGTTCTTTGCACTCTAGATTGTTTAGTTAATGTATTGTTTTAATTTTTTTTGAATGGAATTTATTTATACGCTACTCTTTTGTGCTATTAGTCCAGATTGGCCAATTTTTCAGGCCAGAAGTAAAGCATAGAAAGTAGAGAACCGTGGAGCTGAAATAAAATATCATGATATTTAGAATTAAAGTTAGTATGAACTAAAATATCATGAAAATTAGTATGAACTAAAATTATCATGAAAGCTGAATTTTGAATTAAACTTAAGCTCATAACTGTGCCATATCTTGAGATTTTCTTAACTTAATTGAGTCCTGGTAATGTTATCTAATGTTGGTCATTCCTCAATTTCTTTTCTTTTCCCCTTTATATATATTATCTATTGGATTAAGCCCATACAAACATGGGTTAGAAATAAATCCTATGGACAAAGCAGATATGTTGGTCTATAGAGGGCACCATTCCCTTTTTGCAATGTTAATATTAAACTTTAATTATTGAAAAGTTTGGACTCATTTCTTTCATGTTTTTGGCCCCATGTGACAGTGGGTCATATGATTTCTGCATATTGAACACAATTTATATGATCTAGGCTCTTTAACCTTTTGCTCTAGAATGATGGCAATACAAATTTTTCAATAAAAATACATTGAAGTTTCTTTTTCTTTTGTTTATTATTTTTGCTTTCCTTAATTTAAAGGAAACATATCACACAGTTGTCTTATTTTTCATTTTCTTTCCCAAATACAAGTTATTCACATGGTTCATACAAGTTATTGTGGAGGGATTGCTCTTATTGGAATTACTTGCACGCGGTAGTTTCTTAACCTTTTGTTAATTTATTTGCCTCCTTATGCATATACAACTACAGTAACAAACTAAATACAAATGCATCAATTACAGTACCTATTTACACTTTTTGCATACTTTTATATATTTACATTTACATTATATATTAAGTGGAATCATTAATCATGTTTTAAGTTAATTCTGTTTTCTTAACGTTGTCAGTCCTGCTCAATTAGGATTAAAGAAATTAAAGTTTAGTTTCATTTTGGGTCAAAACTTCAATAATCAAACAAATTGATGCTAACACAACCAATCAAGAATCAACCTAAGTGATCACACCCAACTTAGTAAGTTCTATACCTGGTAATGGTTAATCATTCATTGGTTTAAATTCCCCGTGCATCGCACGGGCCATTCTACTAGTATTTATGAAATATGACGAGAGTAGTATGGAAAAGAAACTGACAATTAGTTGGATTTTTGTATCTTAAACAATGTTGGCAACTAACTAGGAATGGTTTACCTTGCTTTTTCAGTTTGCATGTGGCTTGTAGAGAGACCTGATGGAGGATTTTATATATCATTTACCAATTGATGGTGGCTCGGTTGGTAAGATCTATGACTTGTTGTAGCAAAATCTAGAATCAAATCTCACTATCACTAAGGTTGGAGGGTTAAGATGATGGGCATGGACTAACTGACTTAACCCCATCGCGTAGCCCCATTAAAAAATAAATCAAAACAAAACACTGAAAATAAAAAAGATTACCATTACATTTTAGGCAAGAAAATTTACCCTATTAAAAAGGATAGTGATATGCTATTATTAACACAAGTGTGTAAACTAAGATAGGTAATCAATCACAAGCAATGTTTTGAAAATCATAATCGTATGATAAATTGTAGAGAAAGTTGAATCGAATCAAATTGTGAATCATATTATAAATTGTAAGATTATTTTATTTTATTTTATAAATTGTCAAGAAATTAAATATAGATATATTAAAAGGCTAAATATATATAGGAAAGTGACTATACCCTATTTCTAATCTATATATACCATATATGTACCTAAAATAATAGAATTTACCACTTATACAATAGAAGCTTAAGAACATATAATCAAATTTGACTTGAAAGTCAAACAAATCCACATAATGACTCTTTAACCTACATATGATGGAAAATAAATTTAATTTATAGTCTTAAATACTGTAAATAAATCTTTTGTAGTAAGGGCTTTAAAAAAAATCTCCCTTGACAAAACTAAATATAAACAAAAATATAATAAAGTAATGAACTAATTCTTAATTGAATTTATTTGAATCATAAAAATTGTAAGATTCAAATAAAAATCGCAAGTTTTTTTTGCAGGAAAGGATTTGTACATAAGATTTGAATTGAAACCCATGAGATTCATGACCCAAATAGTGAATTGTATGGTAAATTGTAAGATTTTGACAACATTGACCAGAAGTGTTTGCAATAGATCTTGTGGCATTAAAAAAAACTATCAATTTCTGCAAATTAGAATGGAAAAACTTTTAATGAATCCTTCAGCTCCTACAAACTAAAGAATTGCTTTTATTCTAGCACATAGACTATGTTTTTCTAAAACAGATTAAAAAACAGAACCGCTTTTATATGAGTCAGTGTTCAACCGTCTGGGTTAAATAGGCCAATTCATTATATTATAATTAAATAATTAATAGAAAAAATACAAAAAAAATCATAAAAAGTACAAAACTTTTTCTATAAAAAATATATCATTGTTCACCGTATTAAACAAAAAAATGTAATATATTGTTATTAATGATGGAAATGACTAAAAATATAAGAAAAAGAAAACTGATATTTCACCTGTGACCCATTAACTGGGCCACATGTTTTAAAGCTTCAATGGTCTGGATCATTAAATTAATGACTGAGTCAACAATATAACCGTAAAACGGACCTGCCAGGTGACAGGTTGATCAGTTTGTTGTGGATCGAAAACACTAGCACAAACAATTCCCATGCAGGATTAGAGCGTGGTCAAATATTTCAATGGATCCAACCGTATCCAATATTTCAATGGATTCAACACAAATATTTTGAACACCGTAGATATGGTACATCGTAACTTATGACCAAACACCTGTCATCCTCAACATCCCAAAAATACTAGTTTTTTATTTTTGTCCTAAATTAAACCTTTAGGGCTTCCTTAAAATGGTAAAAGTGTAAATTCATTATAATGCATCCCTTACAAGTTATAATTCCATCTTACACCACATATCTAAAAATATTCTGTTTTACCTTCTCTAATATTACTGTCAGATTAGTAATCTTTGAAATTTGTGTACCAGCAATTAATCACAGCTTATTCTGGACATGTAACCTTGGGTTTTCCTGTTGATGCTAGATATGACTATAGACTTCTTTACATGAAATAGGAGCTCAGTGAAATAAATAAGAGTAAGGAGAGAATACTGTAAGATTTAGGACCCGTTTGGTTCATAGTGTGAGTAAAAAACAGAAACAGAATTCTTTTCTGGAATGGTCTATTTGTCTCACCTGTTTGGTTCAGACTGGAATTAGAATAGGAATCAGAATTGGCTGAATTCTGGAATGGTCTATTTATTTCCTGTTGATGCTAGATATGACTATAGACTTCTTTACATGAAATAGGAGCTCAGTGAAATAAATAAGAGTAAGGAGAGAATACTGTAAGATTTAGGACCCGTTTGGTTCATAGTGTGAGTAAAAAACAGAAACAGAATTCTTTTCTGGAATGGTCTATTTGTCTCACCTGTTTGGTTCAGACTGGAATTAGAATAGGAATCAGAATTGGCTGAATTCTCACTCTCAGGGGAGGGAGAGGGATTGCCATTCCACCAGAATGAGAATGGGATTTCAAATTTCCAATTCCGCCCAATCAAACAATCGGAATGGAGCCAAACAGATTGGATAAGGTCTCAACTTCAAGACAGACGGAGAAGGAACCGATACACTTGTATCTGCAGTGAAAGAAGATGATTGGTGGAATAAATCTGTTATGCATGCAAGGAAAAACTAGTAATTTCAGTAAGCAGGTTCGTTATACATGGAGAGAGAGGGAGAGGGAGAGGGAATGAGAAGCGCGTGCAGAATAACACGCAGCAAGTGTGCAGCAGCTCACACTCAAATAATGCATCTTCTGCATCTATTTAGTGAACCCAACTTCTCACTCCACACGCACAGCAAACAAACACCTTCAGTCTCGTTCAGCTGGAGACACCATGACTGCTCTTCCCATCCTGTTTCTCATTTTGTTTACCTTATCCTCTGTTTTAGCCCAAGACTCTGGTTCTTCCACATCAGGCCCCGACATGGCGGAATGTGGGTCTCATCTGCTACAGCTCGCCCCTTGTGCACCGTTCGTGCAGGGATCGGCCGCTTCACCAGTGCAGTCTTGTTGTGCCAACCTCATTGGCTTCTATAATCAACAACCCAGCTGCTTCTGCGTCTTGCTCAATGACACTACCATGAGCTCTTTCCCTGTTAACAAGACGCTTGTTCTGCAGCTGCCCGACCTTTGCAACTTCCAGGTCAACTTCTCTTCCTGCCCAGGTACCACTGCTCTAAAGTCTGAACATCAATATCCCAATCTCTATATCAGCAACGTCCCAAAACTCGTTTTCCCTTCTCAACTTTATGTTTTCCTATAAAAAAAGATTCTCTGATCTAATACATCGATTATCTTTTTTTGGTTTACTGAAGGGTTTACTGTGCCTTCCAGCCCGCCTCAGTCTCAAGTTTCTCGTGGAACAAACTCATCAAATTCTTCAACTGTTGCTGGTATATGATTATGGGTTCTGATTTTCAATGTTTATATGCCGATCTAAATTGCTTATTCATAAAGCTTGTATGTTGTATCCATCAAGTTGATTGGCCAGGTGAAACCTACCATTTTCCACAGGAGACCAGATCTGCTCTTCACACATGGCGCCTCACATCGACCTCACAGGCACATCCCACTGGTATGCCTGTGAAGTTGTTGTGAGGCGCTCTGTGTGTGGAACAGATTCCACCTCTTTTTCACAGGCATTTAATGCGAAGTAGAATCTGCTCTTCACAGCGCTCCTTACACCGACCTCTCACAGCCACATCCATGTATTGATAACATCTCTTATAAATAATAACATGCAAGTATGGAAAATGTTTTCAATACGCAGTGGAACGTGGCACTATGGAGCAGATACGGACTCGTTTAATGCAAACGAAATGCTGATTCGGTTGGATTATTGTAACCATCTTGTCTGTATTCTAACTTGGAAGAGGTCAGAAAATGAAAGACGGAACAAAAAAATGTTCACATAACAGATGGTTTATGGATCAAAGTTTATATTTCATTTTCACACTTTGACAGAGACCCCACGAGATAGTTACAAATTAGATAACGTACAAATAAATATTGCCTTGTTTTTATTCTTTCTTGATGCAATTTCAGATTCTCCGACGATTTCATTGCCACCAAGGTCGAACAACACCGTATCTGGGTTTGTACGGAATAGTGGAACAAAGTCGAAGGCTGGAGGAGATTCAGTTGTATTGGCTGCCACAGCTTTTCTGTTGATGGAAGTTCTGAGTTACTTCTCATTAGAGTGGTCTTTTGATTAGAATATAGAAATTTGGAATGATTCTTGGCACAGATATATACCAAGAACAGACAAGGTGCATGATTGGTTGAGGTGGTATTACTATGGATTTCCAATATTGAAATAATATACATTTCTTAGGATCGTTTGGATTGGTAGAGCTAATACCCAATTCATGGATGGCATTGTATTTCGATAAAGGGTATGTTTGATATAAAATATAGATGGTGGGTAACTGGGTATGATTTTGCGGAATAAGAAAACAGTAGTCAACAAGATTGTGATCAGAACAAAAGTTTCTCACATATAGACACTTTTACCGAGGATAATTTGCTTCCTATCAAGTGATGTACCTGATCAAATTTTGCACTTTTCTTGTATTTTTTTGTAGTGCAAATATCAATACATATATGCAATCTGGTTCCTCGTTCAGTTTTAGAAGCACTTGGTAAGAATATAGTTATGACTTATGACCGAAAATGATAGCTATCACAACTTTCAAAATATGTTTGCACTCAAAGTTGGTCAAATGTAGAAGTGGATTCAATTGGAATTTCTGCTTATAATCATCACAACCAAAAACAGTTTGGCAAAAATGCAAAATTTATCTATGCAAAACTGAACCAAGCTCACATTTCCATGGACATTTATATTTGCACTGCAAACAAATGCACTCCTTTAACAGACCAGTTTTTGTTAAAATTGCAATTGCCTGCATAATTCTACAACTTAGGTTGGACCCATAGAGTGCTTCCACTCCTTGCATGCACCAGTCACAACACAATGACATGCATAACATGCCACGAAGATTTACTATGGGACGAAACCTTCTCATTCACATGGAATCACAAAGCCACACAAACAAATAATATTTCTCATTCTTTATAACAGAGTATTATATGTGTATGGGTTCCTACTTTCGGAAGTAGAAATTATGTACGAAGAAAAAACAGAATATGGAATATCTATTGAGAGATTTGGTCATTCCTAACGTGTTTATGATGCATAATCAACTMCTAATGGGTGTAAAGCAACGAAATTGATATTACAGATTCATGTTCTGTGCAATCACTCTTTTTGCAGAAAGCCATATGCTACTTCTAAGTTCCAATCAACCATTTTCTTTTCCCTGTTTCTTCACACACACACACATCTATCCCTGCCTTACCATTGTGCACTTGTTGAACATTTGAGAACCATAACTTGATCGATGAACTAGCACATCACCTTACATTAGTAAAATGTTGATTCAGGCGAATGGTTTATCCACCAGCCTGACGTTTTTGGCAGCTAGAAATTACATTACAAAAAGGCAGCCCAGTGCATGAGGCTCCCGCCAATGCGTGGTCTGTGGAGGGACAGATGTATGCAGTCTTACCCCTGCACATACAGAGGCTGTCTCCAAGATTTGAACCCTGGTCACCTAGGTCACAATGGAGCAACCAAACCGTTGCGCCAAGGTCCACCCTCAGAAAGTCAGAAATTACATTACGAAAGATCTTTAAATGTAAATGGTTGATCACAGAAGCAGAATAACTTTTGCTTTAGGAGAATAGACAGAAAAGCAGGATCATCCAATCAAGAAAATTTTCCGAACAAGAAATTCACAATAAATGACCCATAGGTAGTGGTATGAGCACCTTTGCATGTAAACCAAATATAGGGCACGATAGGTCAGATATCAGAGCCCTAGATGTAGGGGTGCAAGTTAGGTACTCAATTTAAAGAATTTTTACATTGCATTGGTCTCAGGCTTTTAGACCGCACCCCCTCAAATTGTAACAACTTCCCAACCCAAGCCCATCCAAGTTGCACCCCAACTTGGATGTCCTGATACACCTAACCACCTATTCTGAGATCCATCGCTACATTCAAATGCTCATAAAGAAATATATTCTGTATCGAGAACTCATACAATAAAATACAAATAAGAAAAAAAAAGGAGAAAATTACAGTGTGAAACAGTGTAATTACCTTACTGAACGTGGGACACATTGCATGTCAATCTTCTGGTTTAAAAATATAGTCATGATCTGGTGGTAAATGCCCTGTTCTTGCCCAGACACAACTTAAAGTGGCTATTCCAAACTAGGAGCCTCTTCAGTTGGATTGGCCTCAAATACATCCGAATTGGATGCTTCAGGTTCTTCCAACAATTCTCGAGACTGGATTGATTCCTTGTACACGGGAGTCTGCTTAAAATCTGTTGCCCCTTCATTATATGTAGCCACGGCAATGCCACATGCAATTAGCTGAAAAGAAAAAAGGAAATTATTACCCACAAATCCATTCTGTAGGACATCATTTTTATATTGCCTGTTCAAATGTAAATTGATGGGATGAACCTAAAAAACATTCATGCAGCAATATACAGAATTGGAGCCTACCTTCAAGAATCTAAATTAAGAAAAATGTATAAACATATACCCATGAACATTATCCTTTTTAATACAAAAAGGCAAAAAGTTAAATTCATATAAGCCATGAGGGGCAATGATGGTAATCTAATAATACCTATTAAATTCATGGACGTTGGCCTGCAAAAAAAGTTTGATGTCATATTGACTTGGAAAAAAAATCAGCCTTGGTGAGTATCATGCCAGTGGGACTAAAAGATGTCATGTTTTCTATCAAACAGTTTTGAATGAAACACACTGCTTAAATATAAGGCACCAACATAGAGGCTCAAAGTGCAACATCAACTAGAAAATCTAGCACTAAATCAAGAAACTAGCAATAAAAGAGTCATCCATGAGAATATATTGAAGATATTGAATCCAAGGTGTTGAATAATCATTTTGTTCTTCGTGCTTCTTCCTTAGTCAGACAACCATCTTCTCATCCATTGTAGTTCCTCTCTCCCTCTTTATGGTGGCACTTCTTCAAGTTCATTAGATGCTAATAGTCATTCCTTATGATCTGGAGTCCTGTTCAAGCTTGGCCAGAAAAAGGTTACAACAGAGGAGGGAAAATTGCATGGAATTTGCTATTTTTTCTGTATGCTGGTGTATATGGAAAGAAAAACATTTTTTATGGAAAATAGCATGGGCCTCAGGTGATCACTGGGGTCAATGTGTCAATTTTTGGGGCTTTGAAAAGGCTCTGTTTTTCTCATTTTTGTGATAGGTGGAATGCCATCATCCTTGACATGTAGGGAGAAGTTGGTATTTGGAATGTGCTTCTTTTCTTTTACTCTTTGAATAAAATCTTTCTTTAATTATTAACAAATAAAATAAAATAAATTTTCAGAGTTACACTCTAGAACAAATGGAACCATGGAGGACCACCAATGCTTCGAAATAGGGAGTGCTACAATGTGAATATTTTTGTTTTCATTTGTTTTTGAAATTGCCACATCAGCAAAAAAATATGTTTTTGAACTTTTTCTTTTTTGTTTTGAAAAGCAAAAATAAGTTAGTTTTGTTTTTAGAAACAATTCATGTTTTTGTAACATCAAAGTAATGGCTCTTGTGCTTTTGACATTATATGATTAATGAAGCATGTTATTGAATAACCAGATGAAAACATGTTCTTTAAACCAGAAAATGAAGAACACATTAAACAAAAAATACATACAACCAGGAACATGTTTTCTGTGTTTTTTTTAAGAACCAATTTGTTTCAAAACAGATGGTTTCGATTTGTTTTTTTTTGGAACTCACAACAAGAAAAACAATACACATTGGAGAACACCCCTGAACCCTGTTGTATATGCTGACATAGCCACCTAACCCCAAACCCTACATCACTAGGTCATTACATGTCCCCAAAACAGTTGTTCTCTGTTTACTTCTTGTCTTGACAATGCATCAATTGTTGGCTGATCTGCATACCCATTTGCATTCTATGATTCTACGCCTCCCTAAATCCTGTATTTCTTTCATAGTGTTTCAGTGCTGCCAAAGGGATCTGATTTCCACAATTCAGCCATCCCACCACAACTCTTGAATCACCTTCCACTACCAAATTGTTGAAGTTTAATGGTTTTTCTAGCCTTGACTCTTTAAGTACATCTTCCAGCCATGCTTTGGTAGAGTCATGTCCCATTAGGCCCGAGTAGAGGCCAACTATTGTTCCATAACAGTCTCTAAATACCCTTTCAAAACCAAAAGGACCTGCATAATCTATGCTGCTTCCATCAAATTTCAGTTTGAAGTGATGTATTTCATGTGGCTTCCGTTGTGGAGCTGTGCTCTGTCTATGCATTGAGGATATGTGGGACTTCTGTTGTTAATGATATTCAGGCCACAGCTCTTATCAAAGTCTACCCAGATCTACTATTTATGCTGCCTAATGACTTTATTTAATATGAAATTTTGTTCTGTTTTTCCTATCTTCCTTGTTTGCTCTTGCTATAATTTTTTATTTATATGGAATTTCCTAAAAATTTCTCATTGTCATATGGTAGTAGGTAATAAGTAGGATATTGCTCAAGTGATTTCATGTCTGTAGGTGAGGACATGGTAGTGATGATCAAGGTTTATACAGAATCATGATAATGGGCATCTTGGTCATTAGGCATGTTTAGGAATTGGGATGGTTTCTGTCTTAAACCTTCTGCCTTAATCAATGCATGATCAGTTCCCTTACCTTGTGAGTCAGTAAATAGGAGAGACCATTGATGCTGCTGATGAGTGGTGATAACATCCAGCACTAAGATGTCTCAGTGCTACCTTCTAAGCGAGGTTTGAAAGTCCATTGTGCTGAGATGGGTGCAGAGAAATCAAATAAGCACTTAACAGAACTAGAACCGAGCTATGTAATATCCAGCCCTGAACCCACTAGGATTTACCACCTTACTTTGAGACATATCTCCATCTCTCCAATCAAGCCTGTCTTCTCTAAATCCCCTAGTGAGGCTTGTGCAACAATAGCACACATTTAATAGGGCACTACTTGCAGCTGTTGTTGGAATTTTTCTTGTTTTGTTTAACTTCCAAAAAGGAAAATTGCGGTGTTACGGGGTTTCCAAAGGCAGTTTCCTACAATATTTAGAACAGGAATATAGTATCATATATATAGAAGGCTAAAACTAATGTGGTGGAGCAGTGGAGGTGGACAGTCTTGTAGGATGGTCATTGTTCAATGAAAGATTGAATCATTGAATTGTGCAAGGATATTTCATATAAGGTGGTAGGGATTAGTTTGCCTAAGTGGTATTATACGGTTTTGGGTTTTTGGAGGCATGTTTTTTGATGCTTGAGAGAGATAAGGGTTAGGAGTTGGTTTATGGATTAAAACCACATGGAATCTTGCACTATTCTCTATTCTCTGTGTTCCTCTACTTCTTGGTATTTTTCTTTGTTGTGGTTCTCTCAAGTGATAGAATTGAAGCTGGTGGGTTCCCACAATTGGTGTCAGAGCTCATTTATGCACACAATATCCTTCATGGAACACCTTACGAACCACTTATATTATTGTTTTCTCTGTGCTTCTCTATTTTCTTGGTATTTTTCTTTGTTGTGGTTTTCTGCGGAGAAAATATACTCCCCACAGTTGGTATCAGAGGTCATTGATGCATACAACATCCTTCATGGAACTCCTTACGAACCACTGAATCACTGTTTTCTCTGTGCTTCTCTACTTTCTATTTGGTTCTCTGCAGTGATTTATTCGAAGCTGATAGACACCCAAGATTGGTATTAGAACTCATGGTTGCGCACAACAACCTTCATGGAACACCTTTTTAAGTATACGGAATATTTTCAGGATCACAATGTTCATACAATTCTCGGCACTGGCACGGGCTGGTGTATAGTTCAGCCACAGAGCTTTTGTTAACATGGGGCTCTGCGATGCTCACATGACTGCTTATGTTGTCACGGCCCAAGAATGTAATTCCCAAACTGAAGAATCTTTCAACACCATAGCCTGCAATATTGACACGAAAGAAATATAATGGCCAAAATGACTCTTGTCATGGCCAAACCCACTAGGATGGACCTTGTGTAATTGGCAATCATACCGAAATGAATATCTATGGTTTCATTAAGAGGAGAATTATATTTTTAATTTTTATATGCATTAAGAAAGCTAGTGCTGACATTGTTCATTTATGTTTCTAAGATCATTCATTCAGTCCACATAAAGATTAACATCAACATCAAAATCAACAAGGTAGCAGAAGTAGAAATAGGAGAGACAGATTCAACTCATAAATTCTCAGACAGAACCATGCCAATTCAGTAAAACTCTCTGGAATCACAGCACCTAATGAGCTACTTTACAGAAAAACCATAAATCTATCAAGTTAGCTCTACTACAAACAGAAAAATAAATCATTCATGAACTAATAAATAGAAAGGGGAAAACATATTGAAGAGAAATACCGCGAAAACGATACCGAAAGCCCACATATACTGAACGAAGAAGCCAAGAGCATCCCACTGAGGTCCCTCCCAGAAATCCGGCTTATCGCCCGGAAGCTCCGGCAAAAAGTACCCATCATCGACATCCACCGTACTGTTGCTGGTGGTATCGTCAACATCATCTTCAATCACCCCACCTTCTTTTTTCTGTCCAACGTCTTCTTCTCTAGTGGTGGTGAGTCCGCCGCTCTTCTTGTTTTTGCTATCGAACCTTCCCGTGCGGGAGGAGATCTTTCTGGCACAGACTATGTGAGCGTTTCTCTTCCTCCTAGAGGAGGAAGAGTATGAGATGTTAGACGGAAATGGGAGAAGCGTCTTACGCTGAAAAGGTAGGCCGGTAGTGGTGCCGCTGCGGCATACACCACCAGTGCCGATGCACAGAGCCATGGATGGATGGTACGCTTCGCTTGGCCTCAAAACACGCGCCGTCCCATCAAATCATTTAAAGATAAGGAGAGAGAGAGAGAGAGAGAGAGAGAGAGAGAGAGAGAGAATAGTACTGCCAATCGTTGTTGCCTTGTTGGTAAGCTGGTTGTGCGAAACGTGTAATAACGAGCAAACCGGAGATACACGTACTGTCCAATTATTTACGGGTTTCGATCCGTTTATAATTGGATCGAATAGAGATCCACCCCTATCCGATCCGATAATGGTTTCAAGTTTTTACTTTGTAAGTTAAAGTTTCATGGAATTTATTTTCAATTCATTTTCTTAATGAAATATAATATTATTAAAAAAAATAAATATGATATTAAAGTCAATTTATTTCATTTTATTGATAATATAGTATGTTGGTTATTTTTATTTTATTTTATTAATAATATTCAATTATAATCCGAATTGGATTTCGTTTTGATATAAATTCAATGGATTATATCTGATTCGAATTTAAATATAAACAATCGAATTTGGATTTTCCTATATTTGATTTGATTCGATCCGTTTAAACCCTGACTTTGGTTTTAGAGGATATTTGAGAGTTTAGAAGGAGTATAAATACAAATTTGTAGAGTGAAAAACTTTGCATTTTGTATTATTTCATATGTATTTGTATAATATATATTTGTATTTGCACTCCTTTCAAAATGAGCCCCTAGGTTTGGAAGGAGTATAATATGTAGAATACAAAATCTTATATTTTGTATATATTTGCACTCTATATTTTTGTATTTGTATTTTTTCAAAACTGAGTCAGGTTGAGTTTGGAAGGAGTACAAATATAAATACATAGAGTGCAAAACCTTGTAGTTTGTATTATTTTGTATGTATTTATATTGTACATATTTGCATTTGTACTCCTTCTAAATTCAGCTAAAGGTTCAATTTGGAAGGAGTACGAATATAAATATGTACAGTGCAAAACCTTATAATTTGAATTATTTTGTATGTATTTGCATTTTACATATTTGTATTTGTACTCTTTTCAAGCTCAGTTTGTAAGGAATACAAATACAAATTTGTAGAGTGCAAAACCTTGCATTTTGTATGTATTTGTACGGTACATATTTGTATTTTTACTCCTTCCAAACTGAGAGGCTAATATTAAAAAAATGTATGTCATTCCTTACGAAGGCTTTCATTTCACCAGTTCTTCAAGAAAGGTCAAAGTAGGTTTCATGACAATGAAATTGGGCATGAAGCTTGTGTTTGGTTTGGAGGAAAAAGTAGGGAAAGGAAGGAAAACCTATACAAGGAAAAAGTATAGGTTTCCCTACCTTTTCCTTCAAACCAAACATAGCCTGAATGTCTAAGGCTTTAAATACATGGGCTTCTAATAATCTCTTGTGTAACAATATCGATTAGTGCATAGCTAGTTATGATCACGGCATTTGGCTTATAATAATCTCTGTTATGATCTAACATGTTTTGTTTTGTTTTTGTTTTTTTTGTTTGTTTTTTTTTTCATAATTTGGACACAACATCAACCATGACTATTACTCAAGTAAGGCATCGACTTTACCGTATGTTCTAGCCTCACATTGGGAACATCTCCCATACTTATGTTAATTAGTAATTAAGCACGTGCGTTACATGTTTGATTTTTTTTCATATTAATTACTTGAATTTTAGATATATCATAGTTAAGATATAAATTGAAAATTAATAAAAGTAACAATATGACTAAAAATAAACTTAAATACTTATACTAAATGTGCACATGTAGAAATTTTAAATTACAATTACTACTACTACTACTACTACTACTAAATTTCGTGTTTCATTTTTGTCTTAAATAAAAATAATTTTTAATTTAACAATTATTTTTATTTAATATGATGATTATACAACATTAGAAATTCTCCGAAATGCCTTTAACAAAATTCTGTATTTTTTTTTTGTGTTCAATCTTTTTTTGAATATTTATTATTCAATTATGACATTATGAATTTATTTGAAAAGTTGGATCGTTGACCCATCATTTAGATAAGAAAGTAGTGCTTTCGGATCAGTTTTAAATTATATATTTCATCAACATTATATAAATAATTTTTACTTGTCACACTTAATTTTTGTTTGACATAATTAATATATAATTTTTTATATATTCTTTTGATTACTTGTACATTTTTATTACTTTTTAAATATTTATTATTTAACTATCATATCATCAATTAATCCATTTGACCTAAACCACTAACCCAAGACCCAAAAAAAGTTTGATTTCTAGGTTGACATTAAATTTTATATTACATTTCCATTATTGATAAAATTATACCTTATATATAATATTTATTTTTCTTCAATATAATAAATGTATAATATTATAGATGTACCCCATATTTTATTTTTATAAATATATAACATTATTCTTATGTACAAAATTTATTTTTGTGATTCTTTGTATTTTCTGTCTTTAAAAATTTAATTATTTGATTATGACATCATTTCATTTTTAGGTTGATTTTAATTTTGGCATTCTATTTTCATCATTTATAAAAGTACTTCTTACATTTCATACTTATTTTTGTTCAGCATAATGAATATACAATATTAGTGACGTGTCTAATTCTTTTTATTTTTTTGTATTATATATTTTATATATTTTATTTTTTTATTATGTAATTATGGCATTATTGATTAATGCATTTGGCCCCAAATGGTTGAATTGTTTACCCACCACTGAGAGGGAAGAAAATGGTTTTGTTATCAAATTATTTTTCAAAATATTTACTTTTACATTATTAAAATTAATGTTATGGATTTAATTAGTTGAATTTAATAATGAGAAAAATATATCTTAAATATAGGATTTAATAAGATAATATACCTTAGATATGCGATTTAATGAGAGATAATAGGAAAATAGTTTTACTTCCAATTGGTTTTAAATTTTACATTCCATTTCCATCATTAATAAAAAACATTTATTATTTATCACCAATGTTTTCAACCTATTGGTGACCTGGCTGATTGAACTGTTTGAATAGTCACTCGGCCTTGATCTTGGGTTTGGTTCCGTTGAAACTCCCCATTTCAGTTAAAAACCGTTTAACCCGAGCAATTCAACCATTGCCATGTTCAACCCAATATCTAGGTTGCAAGTTGCGCACTTAATTATGTGCAAAATTTTGAAAGCCATAACTTTGCACTCTGATGTCTGATTGAGGTTATCTTTTTTTTTTGAGTAATTTTTCAAGATCTATACGTCCCAAGGGCCTTAGGCGTCTTGCCTTGCTATTTTTGCAAAAAAACCCCTTTTTTGGCTCCAAATTGCAATTCTAATATTTTTTATAAATAAAAAAATTTAAATTTAAATTAAAAGACATAAATAAATGTTGCATAATACATATATTATATGTAAAACATAATTATAAAATATACATACAACATAATTGTAAAATATATGTAAAACATAACTATAATATATGTAAAACATATTATACTATTTATTGATAAAATATATATTTTTACACACACACACACACATAGTGTTGATGCAGACATCGTAGAGTGGTTTGACTCATTTGACCTTGATAGTCAAACTGGTTACCTGTGACTCGAAGGCAAAAGCGGGTATACTTATTATTGTTTTATATGTCAAGTATATGATGTTAAAGATGTTCCAATTTTTTTAATTTCTATACTTTTTGCATTTTATATATTTTTGAATTTTATTATTTAATTGTAGCAACATGGATTGGTCCATTTGACCCAAATGGTTTAATTTCTTACCACCACCTAGATGAAAACACTGTTTTTTTTCTAGGTAGATATTAAAATTATAAGTGTTTATGTTATTGAAATTATTAATTTATTATGTATGGATTTAATTATAGAATTTAATGATGAGAAAAACAAAAAAAATCCTTAAATATATGATTCAATGAAGGTGAATGCAAATTAATACCTTAAGGCTGCGTTTGGAAACAATGCAAATAAGTGTGAATGCAAATATGTGAAGTGTAAAACGGTTCATATAAATTGCAAAGTTGGGTTAGTTTTGCACTAACAAATTTACCTTCTTACCAAACAGACTTTTAGCTGTAATGGACGCAAACATGAATTTCAATAAAGTATATGCTTTTTTTTTTTTATCAAAAGCCCACTTTAATGCAAATTTACTTCTTTTTTATTGATGTACTTTTACATCTAATTATCAATGTAAATATGCATTGGTCTATCATTTGTCAATGCATAAATGTAATGTTGCCAAACACAAGCAAAAGTGAACAAGATTATAAATTTACCCTGAACCGGGATTTACACTCCATTTGCACCGTTTCCAAACACAGCCTAAATGTTGGATTTAATGAGAGAGAATTGAATGTATTGAAAATCTTAAAATTAACTCTTTTTAACTCATTTAAAGTAGTATAAATATGTTATTATTGAGGCTATTTGTATTTTTTAAAGTAATATAGATATGTTATTATTCATGGGACATGTTTTTAATACACAGTGGGATGTGATTGTGAGGAGCAGATCCTAATTCCTAAATGAAGACTCTAATCGGTAGCCTGCCAGTAGTCTTTGCGGCTTTAATGAGCAATCTCTCTCTCTCTCCTCTCTGTTCTGGTTCTTTTTGTTCTAGTTTTTGTAGATTGATGCAATATCAAGGACTCGACTAATATCTATTAATCTAATGAAAAGTAAGAAACGATTTAAATGTTCATAATTTAACAATTAATATGACACAAAATATGGTGAAACCGAATTTTTGTAACCAACCCCACATGGTTTTTAATGGATATAACACTAAACAGAACATAAGTGGGTCAGGCCTTAAATGATGATGATAATGTCCATGAATATTTGAATGTTAACTTTTATACAAGCCTTAATTTGATGCAGACCTTTTTTGCTTCATATGCAAGTCATTCCTTGAATAGAGAAAAGAGAGAAGGGTAAACTATATTCAATCAGAGAAAGTAAAGTCGAATTTTTGTAGGAAAACCGCTAGTTTTTGTTTATAGGTTTTCTTAGAGAAAAGGTAAGTAGGTAATATGACTAATGTGTGAGATTATATCGATGATACATGCCACTCCAAACCTTGCTAGCCATTCGTCCCAGCAGATCCGACCTCTTATTATCACGTTAATATTTATATTGTCAACTATTAATTCAAAATACTTGTGATATTAGTTCTCATGAGTCAGGACTATCGTTTTTCACTTTTGCTCAGTTTGAGAAGTGTGTACTCTTATTTTTTTGATAAAGAGAAGAGTGTACTCTTTCCAAAGTGAGCTTTTATAATTAGATATTAGTGGGGCCCGTGCAATGTATGGGGTGGGGCAGGTTTGGGGTGAGGCACTCATTTCTTGTTAGGAATGGGAAATTCTTAAATTTCCCCCACTCTAAGGCAATCACCTAAAAAAATCTAATTTATGGATATTTTACAAATAAGATTATAGGAATTTGGGGGTATTTTAGGAATTGGATTATGATAATTTGGGGGTATTTTATAAATGAAACTATGGGATCCTAGGATTATAAAAATATAAGGAAAATTTAAATATATTTTAAAAATCAATATTAAATCTACAGATATTTTACTAATTTACCATCGGGTTTGGAGAATTATATGCAAATCCCATCCCTAATTTGGGACAAAAATATTTTCCTTGTCCCCACCTTGTCTCTACCCCATCAAGATGGGGAAAGGAGACCTCAGTTTTATAGGGAAAATTGTCATCCTTACAATTCTAATAATTTTATATAACTAATTAATAACAATAAATTATACCATTTTATAATAATTTCTAAAAAATTATTGAAATTTCTATTGATTAGTAGTTATGTATAGTAAATTAATTATTTACAATAACAATAAATTAATGTAAATTATTTACTTTTTAAGCCTAATTTACTATTAATCAAAGTAAATGTAATTATAGTAAATCAATGCAATTATGGTAAATTACATTATTTTTAATTAAAAGTAAACCATTTGTTATTAATTAATGTAAAACCAGGTATGATCTCAACCAAGTGGTCTAAATCGGTGTGGGTAGACTTAATAATTTTCCTAAATCATTTAATAATTATCTATTGAAATAATAATAATAATGGATTGTTTTTCAACTAATTATGAAACAATTTTTGATAGATTAATTTCCTAATTTAATTTTCCTAAATTTTTAATAATTATTTAGTTGAATAATAATAATAGATTATTATTTATATAGTTTTGGAAAATATTTTTTCATAGATTAACTTCTTAATTATTTGATAATTGTTAACTATAATTATTGATTTTATAGAAATTAATAAATTACACTAATTAGTAATATCTTTTATCAATAAATTATTATTGTAAAAAATTAATAAAAATTTATTAAATTACAATGATTAATGTAAATTACGCTAAACGTTGAAATTTTGAACATTTATTAATAAAAAAATTATTAAATAATGGATTGCTTGTTAATTTTTGGTAGATTATTTAAATTATTTAATATTTGATTATTTCTGAAATAGTTATTTCACAATTTTTGGTAGAATATTTTCCATAAAAATTTAATGATTTTCATAACTAATGGATTATTTAACAATAAATTATTATTTTAGAATAGATTGTTTAACAATAATGGAAGTTGCCATGAATATATAGGAAACATCAAATTCCCCTTACTCCCCTCTGTTTGAAATCACTCTATAAATCGATACACTTGATACGTCGCTAGGGGCGTATCAAGCGAATTGGTACCTTTTTTTTTACTTTTTTTTTATTTTTTTTCAAAACTGGTTCAGGGGGATCAGTTTAAAGCTCCTCCACCCCCTAATCCAATCAAACACCCAATACACCCATTGTAGGGGCATATCGGATGGGTCCCGAAACGATACGTATCGACCGATACGAGCCGATACATGTCGATACTTTGAACCTTGGATATAAGCATTATTTGATTTGAAAAAGCGAATCTTAATAAATTATAGCCTATATTTTTATGAGAAAGTGGAAAGAATAAGAGGGAATTAGAGATAGAAGTGAAGGAGAGGATAAAACATATATTGAGCTAATTAAGGAGAAAAGTTAGGTTGTTAGAAAAAGTGAGAGACATGAGTTGGGGGGGGGGGGAACCCAATGGGAAAAGAGAGTTCTGGGAAGAAAAATTGAGAGTAATGGGAAGGAGAGAGGAGAGAGAGTCAAGGAGAATGCAGAACTGAGGTAATGGAGAAAGGAGATGCAAGGTAACGTAGACCATTTTGCTATATATACATAGATATTCCTTTTTCTTTTCCTCATAATCACATCTATTGCTTATTAACGATTCACAATAACGGTTATAAATTGGGGGAACAAGAACTCGATTGGTTAGGCCAACTTCAGTTAATGGTGGGTCCTGCATCCTTGTCAATAAATTATATCAACCGAAGTTGGTCATGACTCGACATGTAGTGATTTTCATTGTGGGCAATCAATAACGCAATTTAACATCTTTTGTACATATCTCTGGGGTGTTTCAGACGAACCAAAGAAAGTTGCTCAAGATTCACTAAAATAAGGGTTTCATATATACAACAAAAATAATTACAGAAAAGATGGAATAAGGCTTTTTAAGCTGATTTAGACTTGAATGCATCTCAAAGCCATTGCAAATAAATTGTCTTCCTCTTGTTGCTCTTGATTGATAGCAACAAAACCTGTGTATGTATAGTGCTAGCTGACCATCTTAACAGATCATGCTACCAGTCTAAAGTGATATTCTTAGAAATGTAAAGGTTATCAATGTATTGTATGACTGGAAGTGAGGCATTAATGTACCTTCTCATTTCCTTCTCTACGGAGTGGTCTGCAACAATAGTAATGGGTATTATAAGTAATCAATGAGACTGCAAAATCAAAATCTAACAAAAGATGTTTTCACCTTTCTCCCCTACTTATCATTTCCACTACCACACATTTATCTAGTTTTTTTTTTTTTTTTGAAGAAACACATTTATCTAGTTTTTTTTGAAGAAACACATTTATCTAGTTAAATGTCCTAAAGCATTATCATTATATAAACCTGTACAGATATGGTGGTGTTTCAGTACTTGGGGGTTGTGTTCAGTTCATTAAATATGATTTCAAATAAAACCACAACTTTAAATTAAAATATTCACACAAAAGTTTCTTATTAATATTTTAGAAACTTGACTAGATGGTGAACCCAATAGAAGCTTATGCAATTCAAATGCTGATTTAACCCAAGGTCAATCTGGTGATGTAGCAAAAAATAAAGGGAGAGAGAGAGAGGTATATATTTAGAATTGGACTTCTATTGAACCAGAAATCTGTATGGTTCTTGGCTAGGCTACTTATTTTGTCAATTCTTTCACATTTTCATAGTGTCCAACATGTAAACAGACCCATTAGGGGGAAATTCCTGGTCCAACAATCCTGTCTGGCCTTGTCCTTAAAAACATCAACACTCATTTAAAATAACCAACTAGATTGTGTTTTTCTAAAAGGGACCTGTATAAGCTAGATCACAAGCTTACCGGTTTCTTTTAGCTTGACTATAAGTTGTTCCCTTGTTGGGAGTGCATACATTCCAGCCCCAACTGCTGTCCTGACAGCCCATGTATGGTATGGTGCACATACCTGTGCATAAGCTGTTGAAGCTGCTTCCTTTAAGGAGTAGTCACTGAAAAGCAGAGATTTATATAATACATCATTATAAAAAATAAAAATACAGCAACAACAAAGGTTTTACTAAGTAGATAGTGAATATGCAAAAGTGTGCATTTTGGCATTGTTAGTGTGGTTGACATCCTAATAAAGTAACATACGTAGGAAAAGTAAGAGATCACCGTGAACTCTCCACATACAAGAGAACAAACATTGCTCTTAATTCTTACTTGTCTGTATCCATTTTAAGGGAAAGTCTAACACCTTTTGACCTTAATGCACCTTATTCAATGACCATTAAACGAGGAAAACAAAGAAATGATAATATAAGTAAATAACAAAACATGGTCTTAAAATACTTAAAACTTCACGAAACAGTGGAAAACAAGTTTGGTATAGCATATTGCTACTAGATTTTTATGTATCAGAAAAATTCATATTCATTGCATTAAACAGAATAGAACAAGGAAATAGGATTCAGTAGCTGATCCCTTATAGTTGGGACAAGGCTTGGATGATGATGATGAGAAAAACTCATATTCATTAGGAAAGGACTGTAGCACATCAAGTTGAAGTGTGATGCTAATGTAATCTCTTTCCAAGGTATATAACATTTGTTAAGTGGCCATCTAACTATGTTCTTTGTTCCACCTTATAACAGGAGGCTACTTCGAGGAGTTTTACAAGTGATACAATAGGAACCAACAACCACCCAATGATTTGTGCTTGGTTCAACCAAGTGATGCAATTAGCACAATAACAAAGATTTGTGCTTAAAACCATTGAACCTAATTGAAAGGAAAGGCCATCATATCTCTTTTCTTATTGGAAACGGTAACTTCACTAAAGATCATTTTAGAGTACAACTGATCAAGGCTACAATCATGGGGTGAAAGGCATTGATTTGTCCTTTTTCTTTGTAGCAAATCCAAAATATTGATTTTTTAAGTGTCACATCCTAGCAAAGAGCCCGAACTTTTGGCGGTACAAGGCTGGACAATACCTCCTTTGTTGGAAAGTTCCCTGCAGAGTTAGAGGACTGAAGGAGGACATTGTAAAAAGAAGAGCAAGTGAAATAACCACAAGGGGAAGGTTTCCAAATTCTACTGTCCAAGCAAGATTGATCTAAGTAGGTCACCCCTAAAAAACTAACAAGTTCATGAACCATACCAATTTCTGACTCTTGTAACACTCTTCTCAAGCCCAAATCCCAATAGTTATCAGTGAAAACCGAGGATATCACTTTTTGTTTGTTCTTTGAAAGGGAATAAATAGCAGGGAATCTATCTTTTAAGGACAACTCATAAATCCAAACATCTTCCCAAAACAACATTTTGTTTCCAACATTGGCATCAAATTTGAAAAAAAGGAAGGCAAAATACCATGTATGGCTTTACAGGGAGAACACTGAAAAGCCCTAGGGTCAAGACCTGCATCCTAGCCATTGTCTACCAATCCATGTATACTAACAATCACTTTATACCGGAGCCTATCCTATTCCAATGGTAATTCTCCATAGCCATTTCCCCAACAAAGCTATATTCCTTAACTTAATATTCCTTATTCCTAGGCCTCTATCATCCTTACTTCTACAAATCACCTCCCACTTCACTAGGTCATCCTTCTTGGTGTCCCCCGGTTCCCACAAAAAGTCCCCCATAAACTTCTCTATCTGGTTTGCCACCCTCACTGGTATTTTGAAGGTAGACAAGAAATAAACCGAAAAATTAGCCAGAGTGGACTTGATTAAAGTTATCCTACCCCCCAAGGAAATGTAGTTTCTCTTCTAATTTGCAAGCTTCTTCATAAATCTTTTGATCACTGGGTACCAAAAACTGCTCGCATTTGGACTCCCTCCCAGTGGTGATCCCAAAAATGGCCATGCCCCTACATCACATCCCAACACTCTAGCTAGAGTATCCACCTCTTCCCTTCCTAAACTCACTCCTGCCACACAAAAAAGTATCCACACTCTAGCAAAAGTATCCACCTCTTCCCCTTCACAAAAAAGTATGATATCATTTGCAAATTGTAAATGTGTGACCACCATTTCCTCCCAACCCTCCACCCTCCAATCAAATTGTTAGCATCAACCCATAAAATCATTTCACTCAACACATCAACTACTAAAGAAAAAAAGGAAGGGTGACAGAGGTCTCCTTGTTTAAGGCCCCTTTTAGTTGGTAAGAAATCCCTAGCTACTCCATTCACCAAGATAGAAAAATGACATGAAGAAATGAACCTCTTCACTCATCTCAGTGTTTTAAAAGCGCAAGGGCCAATTTGTGCCTGAGGTGCAAGGCACAAGGCGCAAGGTGAGGCACACAACTTTTTAAGAAAGACAAAACTACAAAAAAAAAAACTAAAAAAATAAAAAAAATTCAGAAAATTCAAAAAAATGCCAAAAAAAAAATAAAAAAAGCAAAAAATATTAAACATAATGTTAATAAAAATATAAACATAAATTTTAAAATAAATGTTTTAAAAAACCAATTATCTAAAATTAAAACACATAAACATAACATGTAAAGCGTATTCAAATGAAATTTTAAAAATAAAAGCAAACATATAAAGTATTTTCAAGCATGTAAAACCCACAATCTCTTTTTTTCCTTAATTGCATTGTTTCAAGTGGCTAATGTGATGTAAAACATATTGCATTTTTTATTCTATGAGTCGCCTTTCTACCATGCCCCTCGAGGCAAGCCTGAACAAGTCTATGTTAGGTTTGAAATTCTTATTTCTCACATGAAAAATAATGATTTTATAACTTTAATTGCCTTTTAAGAAGATATTTTATTGGAATGAATGAATGAACATTAGCAAATAGGGAGTTCTCGGGGCTGAGGCGCATGCCTAGGCGCACCAGGCATGCGCCTTTTGAAAGGGGTGTGCCTATGCACGCCTTTTAAATCATTGACCCATCTACACCATCTTTCTCCAATCCACTATATCATAAGCCTTTTTCCAAGTCCAACATACATACCAACCCTTTTTCCTTCTTAGTCCTTTTGATCTCTACACATTTATTGGAAATGAATATTTGATCCATTATTTGTCTTCCAAAAATAAAGGCCCCTTGATTTGGAAAAATAAGCGAGGGAAGGACCTTTTTTATTCTTAATGCTAGCACTTTAGAAATGATTTTATAAATGCTCCCCACTAGACTTATAGTTTTGAAATCTTTAGGTTGTATTGCATTCAACTTCTTTGAAATTAAGGCAATAAAAGTCGCATTTTCTCTTGAATTAAACTTGCCTCACTCAAAAAACTCTTTAAAAAACCTCCATTAAGTCCCTCCCAACTATATTCCAACAATTTTGATAGAAAGCCATAGTAAAAGCATCAAGCCCTAGAGCTTTAGAACAATCCAGTGTGAAAATTATACTTTTTACTTCTTGGACCTCAAACCTTCTTTCCGAAGAGTCCAACAAATCTCTATTTCCCACTCTCCACTCCAAATCTTCTAAACTTTCTCTTTTTCTCCCCTGAGAATCATAGATTGATTTGAAATAATCTACAAAAGCTTGTGTTATTTCCTCTTCTCTCATCAACAATTGTCCACCCCATTCCAACTTCAAAACAAAGTTCTTCATTTTTCTCCCATTTGCCATCAAATGAAAGAACCTAGTGTTACTATCTCCTTCCCTTAGCCACTTGCATCTAGATTTATGTCTCCAACTCATCTCCTCCTTCCTTAGTCTCTCTTGTAATTCCTACTTTAATCTCTATCTTTCCATCCTATCTTCTACCCTCATGCTTCTTTTAGCTTCGAAGCTATCTAACTCCCCCATCTTGCTAATAAACTCACTTTTCCTTTCCTCAACTTTTCCAGAGACTTCCTATTCCAAATCTTGATTCTAGTTCACGAGTCAATTCAATTCGGTTGCACTTGATTTTGTCAACCGAACCGAAAAAGTCGGGTTGAATTTGAGGCAAACCAAAACCGACCGATAAAGAGAGAACTGATTTTAAATTTAATTTTAATTAACATCGGTTTAATTGGTTTTAGTTAAACCGAACCGAAATTAATGCTTATAGCCTAAAACTGTACCTATATAATCCCTACATTTTTGATGAGTTGCAATTGGCTAGTTGAGTGTTAGTCAGTCCCTATATAGGTCCAACCTGTACCTACAACTGTCTCTTTGGTTTTCACTCCTATGAATAGACTCAACTTTTTACTTTTTTTTTTGTGTCAGTCCCTATATTTAGCTTTTGATAGTTAGATCATAGATGAAGATGATTAGAAAGTAGTGGTTGTCAATCAAAAGTAAAAGAGATGAAAAATATATAAGATATATGAATTACAAAAGGCAAATATGTGTACGTATGCTCGGGTGGGTTTCACATTGGGTTACAAAAAGCATAACCGCAACCAAACCAGGACATCGGGTTTTGCCATTTTATAAACCGAGACCGGCCGAACCATTTTAGAAACCGACCATCTCGGGTCGAGTCAGTCCGATTTGGTCAGTTTACAACATCTTCTGAACAACCTACTTGATTCTAGCTCTCAACACCTATAGCTTCTTGTAGAACCTATAACCCTTCCACCTGTAATCCACTTGGTCTTCCTTCCACCACTCTTTCACCATTGAAACAAACTTAGGGTGAAGTAGCCACATGTTTGGCAATCTGAGCGGGCAAGGGCTCCTCCCCAACTTTCTCGGGACAAGCTAATAGGGCAATGGTTTGAAATAGGCCTTGGCAAGGCTTTTACTGCTAAAGCCCTCCATTTTGCCTCCCAATCAGCTATTTAAAAAAAATATCTAGTTTACAACAATTAAGGATCTCTTAAAAATTTGAGCAAGTATACTTTGCTTATAGAGAGAGGGAGGCCACAACTCAAAAGTTTCCACAAAATTGTTGAACTTCCTCATACTAGAGGTAATTCTATGACATGGGTTATTTGTTTCACTCAAGAACCTAATTACATTGAAGTCCCCACCCAAACACCAAGGGCCACCCCATAAACCTCTAATTGCTGATAGTTCTTCCCAGAGTCCTTCACTT